ACAAGGTACCCTTAAGAGTCTATATGAGACGCCCCGAGCGTTCAAGTAACTCTAATGTAACCTATCCGCCGTCACATAATAAACTTATTTCAACCCAAAACACAATCTTTAGTTTTCATGCCTAAACCTAACCTAAACCATGATCTTTCCTAAACCTAACCAAGTAGTTTTGGTGCCTAACCTAACCCACACCTTGATCTTATCCTCAACCTAAAGGCATTTCCTACAGACGCTGAAGACCTCATATTAAAAAGGCGTTTCATACAGACGCTGAAGGGTACCCTGATCTTTTTTAAGTGTCAGTATTTGACGCCCTGGGATGAGAATGTGTTGGGATATGGGTCACTGAATTTGGTGATTTTACTGTTTATCAAACCACAAACGAGACAAGAGACCTCACTGATTCTGTTCCCTTTATACATCCATGTTGGAGAAAGCTCTTTGCAAGACTAGGCTTCATTAATTACAGTACAAAAACATAACTTTTTTCACTGATTTTGATGAAACTAGATCAGATTTGATAGAGAAAATATTGCCTGGTTCTCCCTCTGATGTGTTCTGGTTGCTCTGCCTATACTTTTGCTGGGTTAGTTTTCTGATGGACAGATGGCATACTTGTTGTTGGCAGTTACTTTAGCTGCTAATTACTGCTAACGATGGCTGCTGCTAGCTAGTTAGCTCAGTTAGCCGTGTAGCTAGCCGTCCTGGCTTCCTCTGCCCAGACTGGAAGCTTGGTGCTCTGGGGGTGTGTTGGTGTTCAAATCTTTAACGTTAGTGCAGACGCTGTGGACCATTTGGAGCCCCCAGTTCAAGCAGAGCGAGCTGATAACCTCAGCTACAGTTAACAGTAGCTAGCAGTTGCTGACCAGATGTCCCCATTTTCCGGGGACAGTCCCCGGTTTTGGTGGCCTGTCCCCGTCTGGAGCTGTCCACGGAAATGTGCCCATTTTTAACTGTGATTTTACATGGCCAGAAAGACTGGACAGCAGAGCATACATGTGCCGTGCCAAAAATGCAAAAATGTTTTTCCATTACCAGTACCAGCTCGACTCGACTCGGTTTGGCGGTGCTCCATTTTCCATTGCAGAGCGTACCCAGAGATAGTACCCCTCAATGTAGCTGGTCGTCATAGCGACGCCACACTGCTGCGAAGGTAATTTTCAATGCAACACACACACCAGCTACGCACACACAGCTGTCTCTTTATTTAAGTTAAAAAGTGTCAACATTACTGAGAATGTAAAGACAGATAAGTAAGAAAACCTTACAGCTGTGTTTTCCTCTGCCGTTGTTGCTGCAGTGATCTCTGTGACACTGGGACCAGAGGACTCTGTGAGCAGGCGGCTGGCTGGCCTCACACCCCCGCTGCCACTTGCAGAGCTCCTCAACTCCGAAAACTTTCAAGCACATTTTTGTTCCGCCATCACTTCTCGTAAAACTGTCAATATTCGAAATCTACACAAATGTTTTTTCACCTCAAAACTTCTCATAAGTGGATTTAGTGATGAAATAACGTATGTAAATTGTAAAATTTTAAACTTTCTTCTGCTGGTCTCTGTCCGGTGTGCGCAATGATGATTCAGTGAATAGTGACTATTCTCTCTGACCAATCAGTAGTCTGCTGTCACGTCACATTTTAGTATCGCCTCAGCTCGCTTGGAACTTTGACGGAGGGGATACAAAAAAGGACCTGGAAGCAGGTACAGGTACAAAAAAAGGCAAGGCGAAGCAAGTCAAGTTGAGCTGGTACCGTGCAGTGGAAAAGGAGCGAAAGTGATTGTCTGCCAAAAACTGATTGCCATCCATGTGAGCGTGCAGTATATTAAAGCTGTATTGCCCAGTCTCTTTACAACTACAGCTGCTTTTATCTGTATCAAACAGACATAACGTGCAAATAAACATCACTTTATGACAAAGGTATGTCTTTGTGATACCTAAACATTTCTTTTAACACAATAATCACAATGGTCGCCAAATAAGTGTTTGTTCCCTGAAATGACTTGATTATATTCATGAGGGTTATATTTGACAGATTATAAAACCAAAATTGTCCCCCCTATATAATTATATTACATATAACATTATATTTTTTAATGACATACTGACCACCAAACCTAAAATGTCCTGGGTTTTCATTTCAGAAATCTGGTCACCTTATGCTGACCCTGTCCACAGCAGTACATTGCTTAGCTTCCATGCCAAAACAACTCTCTCTTTCTCCAAACTGGGCACACACTGACTGCCATCTACTGCAGGCAATACACTGACTATGGATAAGTACCTCATACAGCCCCACTTTAAACATCCCGAACTGTTCTTTTAAGTGTATATTTTACAGGTCACACGTTTTTCCGGATCCACCTGTTTTCATGTAGTGATGTCCTGTGAAGCAACACACATGATGTCAATGAGTTATGAATGACTGTGACCTGACAAGCATTTTATCAAAAAAATGTCTGTTTAGTTTACCCTGTTGAGTATCCCGGTCCTGCTGCTCTTTTCATTAGACTGACATCCATCCCTTAAGTATATACAATATACAAGTAATTTACAAGTGCCCACACACTTGACTGTGTGTTGGTGTGCGTGTGTGTGTGTGCGTGCGGACGTGTATGTGTATACATGTGTGTACATGTGCGTCAGTGCTTGCATTTTTGTCATGCAACAAAGCGATGTGCTTTGTGGATAATGTGGATAATGTCAATGTAGGAAACAAGTGTAAAGCCTGAAGCTAGCAACCCAAGAAATGCACACTGAAATTAACATGAGGGGACGGCTAGTGAAGTCATGTTAGCGATTATGCCAGTGCCAGTGGGTGATGAAGGCCCATTTATGGGAACATATGAAACGTGACTGGCAGAGATCAGCTCTGGGAGGGGAGAGACAGACAGACGGGGTAGGAAGGTCAACTGAGAGCATGGATAAATTAGAGGCAAAGCAAAAAAGACGGAAAAGAAAAGAAAAAAGAGATCTATTGAGAGAGAAATGTTAGTGCCAATGTGAGGGCTGGTACAGGAGGAAGAGGGAAGATAAGAAGCCGAGAGAAACAGAGAGATAAATACCTAGAGAATAAAAGTAAGTACAATTTAATTATATATTTAATCCCCATTTAAATACTGCACTGGCCATCACTGACATCTGGAAGTAATTCCTCTGTTTTAATTTATAAAACCTGTATATCCAAGTTGACACAAGTTGACACAATATTTGCCCTCCTTATTTAAACTCAAAGCTAATAACTATGACACCAGATTTGCTAGTTTTCTGATACCAGAAAACTAATCTGTGCTGTACAGGTTAGTTCCCTGCACAAGTCCCTTGTGCCTTGTCAAGTCTGAAGTCTTTTGAGGACGAGTCTCAAGTTGAGTCACTGTGTGTGCGACTTAACTCGAGTCCCCATCTCTGCTATGCATGTAATTTGTTCTCAGGTTTCTCTTGCAAAAGATATCTTAAGTGAGTTGTGAGCTGATGAGTTTCATTCGTTATGATTACATTGTACTGACCAAAGTAATTACTGAAATCTATCCGCAACATTGCTAAAAATAGAATAAGAAACATAAGGAGTCATTCAATCAGGCAGGTTTTAAACCTCCAGGTTAGGTAAGTTATTTGGAAGCTAAAGGCAAATGGTACAATTATCACCCAAATTATCAGTGGTAAACATCCACCACAGTTTACAGACCTTTTTCCAGGTTCAACTGTGACCAACTATGCATGCAATAGTTGTGTAAACTCACTGTTTGCTTGTGCAATTTGGGATTATTAGCAACATTGTCGGTTATGCTTCCTTTCAGCCTCAGAATAATGTGGTTTCGATAATCCTGTTAAGGTCAGCTTGTTGAAAACTTGTCTGATCACCTGACTGCTTGAGTTCCTTGCCCTGTTGGACCAACTTTCAGAAATGTGACCTTATTTCTAGATCTCAAAAATTACTTTGGTGGGTTTAACATACCCAAAGTTGTTATTCTTTAAATTGTGTTTTCTTCTTTAAATAAGTATTTTCATGAATTAATGGTATCAGTCATGTAAAACTAGAAACAAACTTCCATAGTTCAGCTTTGTAGTTTGATCCAGTTAATGGCAAAAAAGATAAAATGGGAAAAGAACAAAAAAGGAAAGAAGAACAAGCTGTCATGTTTAACTCTGATGACTGTACGGTATGTACAGTACTCCACAGTATGCTACACTACAAATTGTCCCATGATGCTTTACATGCTCTACAGTCTTTTGTAACTACTAGCATCAGCGCCTCTGGTGCTAAGGTGTACTGGAAAGACTTCATTCACTGAAAAAACGAGAATGAGTGACATGCTGTTAAATAATTGCAAAATATTTAAAAAATATATATGTAGTCAATCTTATAATAAGATTATATATTATATTACTTTATAATTCTGAAATCAAGGGAGATTTGTCAAAAACAATAGATGGAATATTTGCTGTGTTACTATTCCAAAGTGCAGTTCAGTCTGATTTAGTTTTCAAATAAAAAACCTTTGCATATAGTCATTTTGCATATTTGCCACCACCAGTATAGCTACATTTTATTGTTCAATGCCTTTTAAAATTTTCACCAGTGTTTTAGAACACAGTTCTTTTATACTGTCTGGACCGTAGAAGCTGTAATACACATTTTGGCCTTGGGAGAGGAGACAACACTATTTATGATTGTGTAACTGCAAATTTAACATTTCAGGAAGTCATTCTGTCAGCCATTTCCTCTGGCTTCTCTAGATTACAAGGGCATGAGTTCGCTCATGGCATGGCGCCACACTTCAACACCACATTAGCCTTTCGTCACCTATGAGACATTCACCCAGGTGTTTCTCTATGGTCACTGTCATGGTTTATTGTGTCTCTGACTGACAAGAGGGCGGTCCATCTCTCTGTTAGAGGTGTAATTATGGATGTGGGTTTGGCAGCTGATTGCTGTCATTGTCTGTCTACAGTGACACCGAGAGAGAGAGAGAGAGAGAGAAGAAGGGAAATAATAGACTCACTGTCTGCCAAAGTGAGGAGAGGTGAAGAGGAGGAGATCTGCCAAACAACAAACAAAAGGATAATTGAAAAGACAAAGGAGAACAGAATTACATTAACAGTATGTACAGGTGCAGGTGTTTGTGTGTGTGTCCCCTCTCCCCCAAAGCTCTCTGTGCACCTCTGTTAGTTTCACAATTTATGTTTTCATGATCTTTTTTAACCCTGCTACAGGTGGCCATGTTGCTGAAGCCTGTCTGACCAGTAATTGCTGAGCAAGGATTGTCAATTTCCTTATTCACACAACCAGTGCATTTACTTGCATGGAACACCTTCCTTTATTTAATAGTAGATAGTAGAGAGATGACAGGAAATCAAATTCATAAAGAAAATGAGCAACAAAGTTCCCACTCACCAGAGATGTTGTGGTTCATGGTCCAGTAAACATTATCCAGAGCTGTAGACATGAAAGACAGACCTACTGTAAATTGGTCTTGAATGCTGTGACCCTATGCAATGTATGATGAAAGTGATTTTGCAGATTCATAAGCAAAAACCCAGCAAAACAGGGTCCTTACCACATATGATGCATGTATTCCCCTCTCTCCTGCATTTCCTGTCTATCTTCCGCTCTACTAAGCTCAATTAAGGCAATTGCCCCAAAATTTTAATTAATATGCAGCAAAACAAAGAAAAATAACATCTACCAGTGTTAGCCAGGGTTGTAACTAGAACAACTTCAAAACTATTCTGACACATATTACATCAATAGATTAGACCAGAAGGAACTACCTAGACCACAAGCTAACTCCAGAGCAATCACACCTTTTCTCTGTCATTATTAACTTTGTGAAATTGTGTTAAATATGTTTGATAAAAGTCTCCATCAAACCATATTTTATGTTATATGTTATAAATGTATGAACTTGAAGGATGACTAGTGGGAAGCCTCGTTCGTGCAGCTCTAAAATCCCTCTTGAGCCTTTGGACTTGCTCCTCATATAACGCCAACTTTCCTTTCATTTTTCTCCTCAGTCCTGCCTCTGGACCAGGTGTGTGTGTCACTGTACAGTACGTGTGAGTGTTTACTGTAAATCCCAGGCTATTTAAAACAACAGTTTGATGATTAACAGGGACTCTTTTAGTTCACACAAAGCATAGCGTAAGGGACAAATTGTAAAGTTTTAACAGCCTCGTCTAGTGAACCTGTCATGCTTTTGAAATTTCCGAGCAGTGCTTTGAAGCAGATCACGACTTTACAGGCAAACAAGTAGTAACTGCTGATTCCTGCCAACAAGCCCAGGTGTGTGTCTTCTGCCAAGAAAGGCAGGTAAACAGGTGGTTGAGTCAGGATTATGACGTGTGAAAGTGTTCATAAATCTGACTGTGGTGAAAGCGATTGACTTGCATTAGAATTTAACATAAATAACTCATTGTTATCTTGTTAGGAATACTCTTTTAGAATAGCTTTTCTCTGTAGTCTCCTTTAAAATGATTTAATAAATTATTTAAATACCCTTTTATAAGGCTACATTTAAATGAAAGATGAGCACAAACATGAAGAACACGATTCCTGAACCATAGGGCATTTATTCTTTTTTCTTTTTCTGTAACCCCATTAGCTTCTACAAAGTGGTCGCTAAAATCAGACATGTAAATAAAACAATGTCATGTTTCAGCTAAACAACACAGTGATACTTAATTACATGGTGGAAGAAGACCCATGTCTTGCACTTTCTTTTGCCAAAGTGTTTCTGTTATAAATTCCAGTTGAGTAAACCCGAGCAGCTGTTCCTCCATCTGATTCATGCAGGAATAATGTTGGTGGCAGTGTACGCCAGAAACCTGATGGTGGAATGCTTCCCAGCAAAATCATCTCTCCTGACAGATGTCACTTCTTGACTAACAGAGATCTGTTAACACTACGTTTTACCATCAGTTAGATGGCAAAGTCTGGGTAGAAACAGACATTCTGCTCTACAGAGTAAAAAGAGGAGAAAATAATTATTGTTCTTTTGTGTCTCAAAGTGAACATAATCATTACTGCTGCGTCCATCAGGAGCATTTTAGTGCTACTGGAATATTCTTAATTGCTGTAGTTAACACCTCAGTTTTGCATTGCTGGCAGGAATAGTGCATCAAATGTTTAGCACACAGGGAAGAAAGTTAGAAAAATTACAGGGTTTAAATGAGGAAAGCTTTCACTTAGGACCAACAGAGTGCTCCTCTGCAAGTGGTATCTCTGTATTCTCAATAAAACAAAAGCCATGACCAGCAGCTCAGACCAGCAGATCTGGAGGCTAAACACTGCACTGCAGACCAGAGGATCTTTGAAGGACCCATAAAATCTTTCTGTTACACAGGTGGTTTGTGTTTTATTGGTTTTATTATATCTCTGTGAAAGACTCTCAAAATCTGGTCAAATAAAACAAAAACTATCTGCATAGATACCGCTATATACAATTGGAATTAACTGAGACAATATATTTTAGTTAGTTTTTTTTTTAACTATAACTATGGAAAGCATATAGTGACATTAAAACATTTACCCCGGCAATTGTTTCTGTAAGGCTGAGGAAATATTATACAAATTAACTTTCACAAAACAACATAATCCAGCATCCTAGATATCTTTTATAGCAATATCCTGTATGTCTTCTTATTGTATGAGTGTGTATTTTTGTCCTACTTCTAAAAGAATAGGTTGGGTTTTTTTGTACTTGGGTCTTGTGATAAGATAAATCAGCCAAAACTAACTTTGTCTTCTATCCAACCCCTGTTATCGCCCACCCAGGAAGACGGAGGCTCTCACGCCTTCACTCCCTCCACAGGGCAGCTAACAGGTAAAAAAACCAACACACACTTAAACACACTTTCACACTTATGCATATTCTTTCTCACAAACACAGTCAAAAGTATCTCTCTTTCACATACACACTCCCACGTAGATCCGCACCCTCTGTGCTGACCCCTGCCTCGCCCTGAGAAATGTCCCATATCGATGCTGAGAAGCAGGTCAAGCATTCTGTAAGTGCAGCAAAGTGAGATAATTGCAACATGGACTGCTCTCGGCTTACCATTAAAACACCTGCCCCCTAACCCCTCAGAATCAGCCAGTCTCCGCCCCCTTTTGACCCAACCCCTCTCAACTCACACAACATTTAAAAAAAGGCAGAGTGGCAGGGGTGGTGAGCTGAGCTGTTTAGGATAGACAGGTCATGAAATGTTCAGCGACAGAGCGATTAATAAGCCGGGCTAACGAGCTGCCCGATTGGTCTCGCTCTCTCTCCCACCCTCTCCCCATCCTTCCCCTTGATGTGGATCCGTGTGATGTTCAACAGGGTTTAAGTCACAGAGGCGGCAAGGCTAGTCTTAAGAAATGCACCGGCTTTTTGAGTAACTCCCAACGACTGGTACCTCATCCTCCGCCACCCACCTCCGCCTTCTAATTATGCCTTTGAACCTAAGGGATGAAGGGTTGAGGGGTGCAAGGAAGCATGACCAAAGTTTATGTGTGAATGATTGTGAGTGATCAAGCTCATGCGAGTGTGTAGGTATGGGTGGATGTGGGAAAAGAGGGGGTGCAGCAGGAGGGATGAAGGGTAACTAAGGGCACAAAGGGATCACAAGCAGTATCCCTGACTTTGAGTTGTTTTTAATAAGGGTGTTTTACTGTGGCCTGGTGCCCTCTTTTAAAGTGGGATGTATGCCAATGGCTGTTGTAGGATTAACATCACAGACTTTGATGTACACCTTGTGACCAGAAAAATAGAAACTCTGGAACACTGTAAAGTAGTCCAATATAACAGTCCAGTAATAAATACTACTTGTGTAATGCACCTTTTCCCATCTACATAAGTTAAACAATATATCAGAAAGATTTTTGATTAGAAAGATAGTTCACAAATGAGGAAGACGTCTTCAAGTGTCTTAGTAACTCCATTAGCCTCCAGAGAAACTTCAGTGCTCCTTGGCATCAATTCTCCAAGTCTGTGGATCTCTGCTAGAGGGATGAACACCATTCTTACAAAAGATATTCTGTCATTTTGAAGAAGGTGGTGGACAAAGCTGTTGGTCATCTGTCGAGTATATTATCCAGAATCTCCCATAGGTGTTCAGTAGAAATCGGGGGAGTGCCAAGCCCAAATGATTCACATTCCAGCTGGAAGTTTCTCCAAACTGGTTTTGTATTCCAATAAACACAACTGGTCATGTTTATCTGTGGGAAGCCAGTGAGGGACAATCTACTTGCTTGCTGCACTAGAAACTCCTGACTACTGGTTGGTGGGTTAGCCAGCTCTGATCGAATGAGGCTCACAACTTCACGTCATGAAAGAAACATGTCTCTCAGAAAACTCTTCCAACAGTAGATTGAAGGTTTGAACCTACATGTCAAGGCTACAGTTATTGTTGAGACATGGGGACTCAAAGCACGAAAAAGTCTCATATTTGGTAATGTAAAAAAGCAGACCATCCCACCATCACTCATATCACAAAGTAAATGAAAGAATGTAAACACAGTTAGTGTGGGGAATGTAATTAAATAAAAACCTATACTGTAGGAATCTGTGGCGGGACTCCCATTAACCCCTTGCATCAACCGTAAATCTGGCTTTAGCAATTCCCAAGACGGCTGTACACCATAAAATGAATTGGGCTATTCAAACTGGGAGAAAGAGGGAGGGAAAGACAAAAAAGAAATATATATATTAACCAGTAGGTAGGTAGATTTTATTGCAGTACTTTCTTGCATTACAACATTTCTATTTTTCTGGTCACTCAGTATATATCTTCCATGAGTCTAAAAAGTGAAGAAAATTATATTGGTGTCTAGAAAAAGAAAGATTGGGGAATCAAAGTGTGTTGGGACAGGCTTCAACCTTGCTACAGTAGTTTAGATAGACCAAGACCTCAAAAGGCTGCTATTGAAAAGGCTGATACTGAAGAGGCCCCAAGCCTTAAAAATCACTCGAGGCTGTCAATTGGAAATCTGTAACACATATATAATGGGTCCATTTTGAGCATTTTGTGAACAAATATGAAACATCCCCCACATCCAATATGAACATCATTGTGCGTCATGTGTATTAATGGTGTCACTTCACATAAAAAAAAGAGCAGTCCTGTGACTGTTTGTGTCAGCTGAACCGGATCTAATTACAACCACTACACTAAGGCAGATATCCCCTAATCAAAAACAAAAGCTATAGCAAAAAACAAAACAAAACAAACAAATGTGTGAAGAAAATGTGTCATATTAAATTAACTAGATTTAACTTGTCTTACACATAGCTGTTTTCATTCTTGAAGTTTGATTCCTCTTTGTGTGATGGTAGGTCTTTCTTTGACCAGACAAAGAGATTAGGAAAGGTATAAAGTGAATGCTATTTGCCATCGCCCCTGCTCTTTTCATGCTGAGACCAAATGGCCTGCGGGGGGCAACCACTTAAAGCATGACTCTCTAAGGCCTTGCATGTCTGCTGACCTTTCCTTGTGTTTTTTTTCTTCAAACAATCAGGACCCAAACTGAAAAGAGGGACGAGGTTGTTACCACATTATGCTCGCTAGCTAGTAGGTCAATGGAGCTTCTCCAAAGATTTAAAGGAAGATAAAAGGCTCTTCAATGGAAAAATCAGTGTTTCCTATCTTTATGTTAGAGCTTTGCTGAAACTCCATCAAGGTTAACAAACTCCTTTTAAATAGTCTTGTTAATGTACCTTATATGGTTTATCTGATTGCATTCTGAAGATTCCCAGAAGACATTTTAGAGCGCATGCTGTCAGTCCAATAAATTGAATACTGCTACCCTATACTCCTACCCTCTGACCTGTGGGAGAGAATCAAAGGAATAGGAACGATGTTGTTTTTAATAAGACGTTTGAGGTACACACAAATAGACGGCTTCCTACATACATCATCTCCTGTCACAAGAGATCACCCACAATAACTGGTTTTGGAAATAGCTGGATAATAACAATGAATGTACGGATGATTGTACAAGGCCTATGTGAGACATCAGGAGAGAGCTAATGAGACAACACAGCTTAATTAAGAGCATCATTGATGAGTAAGTGGTTTGATAAGGGTTTTGGGGGGCGCAGGAGGGTTATTGTTCCTAACACGAGGGAGATCACCCGAGGATGGGAAGTGACCCACATTCAGGAAGAGGAAAGATGGGGGGTAACCCCCATTCCCCTAACAGGCACCCCCACATCCCCCCCGGGCAGCCCGCTGATTGGTTCATTACCCATTGTAAACACATCTACTACCCCCCACCCTGGTATAAACATACACCCTGCCCCCTTCCAGTCTCTCTATGATCATCCTGCCGTGGTGAAGACCAGTGGCCAGATTCCTTCAGTGTCCTAATCAGATTCATAAATAACTCCACACTCTCTTCATCTTCAGGAATTCCAGGATGGAGAAAATATATGCTTTTGTTTGACAAAAACTTTACAAAATCTGTTCATAGACAAGGAAAAACTCATCTCTAAAGGCAATTAATTAGTCTAGGACAAGTTTTTCTTTGATGAGATTATTTACATGCTGTGAATTGCTGCCATGAAAAGAAACAGGTTAAAAAGTGATTTGTTTTTTTCTTTGGCAATGAAAGAAAAGCCAGAGTGGAAGTAAAAATGATTCAATCAGTTTGCATAGCAATATCAACTGAACATACATAACGCCACATGGTTTCTATCTTACCAATCCTTTTGTGTACTTAATTTAGCAGGTTTTTAGCTCCATATGTTTCTTTTTGCAGGCTTTAACAGGAATGTAATATATAATTTTTAGTTCTTCAGTTTATATTTTGTATACATTAAACAAAGAGTGACAAAATATTAACAGAGGGTGAGAGTAATTTGTAACATTATTATTGTGGTGGAGGATATGTCAAATACAGTGTTGAACATCCTTTGGCCAGTATGTTACCTGATCTTGAATGTTCTCCTGCCTCCTATTAGCAGATAGGTGTACTTTAAACCTGCAGGCGTTTTGGTACCCCACACCAAGGTGGTCTAATTTCACTTCAGATCAACGCCAGGAGCTGTATTCATGTTGACACTTATGCAGAGGTGGGAGTTGTACTGTTAAAACACATGTATTTCAAGTTGTTCTTTGGGGCTGCATCCTGCCACCTCTATGGAGAGACCCCCTTGATGCACTGCACTTTCATTCCCCCCCTCCAGGGATTTGTCTGAACGCTCTCTGAAGGTTAAAGTTTTGGCCGTGTTGCATACTAGACGATTTACCTTTGCCATCTGATGTCTCTGCCTCTCTGCTCTCCATTGGCTGTCACTCCCGGTTACTGCTGCTTCACTGGGTAGCTGGCCATTGTCCTCAGGCTGCGGTGCTGTTGGCAGCTGCGCTCAGATGGAAGAGAGGATGGACATGCTGCCGTTAGGTCTGCTGTGGAGCCTTGCAATTGGTTAAAAAGGAAACAAAAGAATACATAACACAATGCAACATACAAGAATAATGTATATTGTGTTAGATTAAAGAAATGAAAGATGATAAAACATAAAGAACACACAAAAAGTAAATATACAACATGTTAAAAACATGGTTAAAATTATGCTGTTTCAGGCCTATAGCTAGTTTATACAGTCAGACACATCAAGCACATTGGAACTAAATGAGATTTCCTTATACGTTAACATCTTCCAAAATTATCCACACACCATCAGCTATGAGGATTAACCTGGAGATCCAAAGACAAATAGTTGTCAACTGGATATTTCCAACACGTTCAGACGTTCAGATGGGTAAAATGTAATGCCAGAGATGCAGATTTATACTGTCTCACATAGTATATATGAAAAAAGTGCATAAACATAACATAAAAGTGAATATTTGCACATTTGAAGAGCACTAGGATATATTCTTCCACTTGGCCTTTATGAACCCATCATCTCACGGATCACCTGTGTGTCTGCCTTAGTATTTGGCGCCCTCAAGTGTCCACAGAAAATCTTAAATTATTCACTGAACTTGACCTTCATAACATGTGATGATGAAATAAATGTGGGTGTTTTAATTTGACATGTTTGATGTTTAAATATGGAACAGCTGTCATAGCTGAGAAGAAACAGTTTTGGGTTCATCAGATTAAGTCAAAGCTACGGTTTAGATATCATTAGACACAATTATATCAGTATTGTTATTTTTGGTGGGTTGTCCCATACATAATTTAATACATAACTTAACAGCTTATTATAATAATGTGAATTTGAATAGTGTTCAGTATGGTGTGAGCTGATAATGGCTGGCCATACATACCTGTTTCTCATTTTATTCATTAATCATTTGACCATTTTTGAAGAAATACTGTCTCAGGCCGAACTTTCTGATAGCGCTCAAAGTTGGTGGGTATATAACAAGATATTGAAATATACATTTAGTTAACTGTTGCAGTGGTTCCCAGCCTGACATTTCCCCACAGCCTTCATCGACACCAGTGGTCATGCTCCATATGTGTCCTTTGAATTGATTATTTAAAACTATAAGTTATATATAAGTAGATGTCACTATAGGTTTTTCACACAATGGCATTGTGCCAATGATTAGGCTTGGCAGGCTGCAAATTATACAGTGACAACTGTAACTTTTTTTTCCAGGTCCAAAAGAGGAAACCCAGTAGAGCGCAGGCACGGGCTTCAGTGAACTAAAATCTTACAATGCTTACAATATCCTTGCTTATTTAACTAATGTCATCAATCTGTAGATTATGATAAATCAAATTCATTACACCAGTTCATGGGTGCCCTATACCACAAGACAACATTTGTAGATAGTGGTCACCAAGTATTATAGAGCAAAACTGCATGAAAGTCAGACACACAACTGCAGACCATCATGACCGCTCAAAACAAACCCACAGTGTTGATACAGAACTAGAGACACATAAAATACAGTCTGCATTATTATCTCTAATTCCTTTTATCATTCTCATCAAGTTTAAAGTTTCAACTTACTCTTTTTTTTTTTAGCAAATAACTCCTTTCCTCTTGCTCATGTTGACTGTGAATGATGTAATCTGCATCCAATAAAGCAGTAGTCAGGCACAAACACCGTTGTTGGGGAATTGGGAATTTTTGGGAATTCCAGAGTTAAAACAAATACCATGTTTATTGTGAAACAGCTCACTAAAGAATTCATATGAAATAATAAACTCTATAGGCCTATTGATGTAAAAATGTATCTCTACAATAACTAATCTCCAATTTCACTGCTCATGCCTAAACACCAGTGTTAGCTGACAATTACATAAAATATGAAATTACATAGTTATAATGAAATGATAGGGTGGGCTCTCAGCTAGCTAACATCAGCTCATTTTAAGTAAAATAAATGCTAATTACGAATCTCTGAAGGTAGGAAAGTTAAGTGTATTAAAGCAGCTAGATAGTTAACTACTGACATTAACCTGCTGCGTCTCCATTAGAGTGTGATGCACAGGAGCAGCTGGGCTGCGAGTGATGCAGACAGACAAGACTTTCAACTAACTACAATGTTAGGAAATGGTACGGTCCGTTTTAGGGGTGTCTGAAATCGTATTTCAAGATTCTTGAATATAAGGCATGAGTATGGGAAATATGTTGTAATATTTACAAAAACAGATAAGAAAGACCCCCTGAATTGTTGGTTTTTCCTCTTTTGGGCGAGTCCAAGCCTTAACTAGGGGGGTCAGACCCCCCCCAATCCCCCCGTAATTCGAACCAGGAGGCTTGGTCTCTTTTATCAGTTGTTTTTTTGTCAAGTTTGTATTTGTTAAACTTATTTAACAATTATTTTTAGCTATCCATTTTAACATCCCCGCGTACTTTCTGACTAGTTTTCATTCACTCTCCAAACCCCTGCCAAATGCTTCTATTGTGTCGAGATCTGGCTTTAAATAATGCCAACACATCAGGGTTTAGCATAGATTTAGTGGCTTAAAATAAACCCAAAATGTTTACTGTTGAGATGAGATGAAAATTGTTCGGTGATCAGACCTACAACAATTTGAAGGAACTATTAAAGGCAACCTAAACGGGAATAATAATTCATTATTTAATTAAACTCCTTGGGCACTCAACGCACCTGCATGGTCACGTGACAAAGAAACCCGACTGCACGTTCGTGTTTGAGAGGAAGGAAAGCGTTTTGATCAAGACATTGAAGATGGACAGTGGGGGAAACCCCAGCGCGGCAATTTGCAGGTCGTGTGGAGAGGCGTTCATTTTGCCTGGTAAGATAGTTACATCTCCTTTCTTACAGTTTAATGCTCCAGTTATACCGTGTTTTATGGTAAATTGAGTTATCGTTAGCTAAAAGAAGTCGTCTGCTAGCTAGCAAGCAGGTGGCCGTAGCTAGCTAATGTAACAGGCAGGTGTGCTGACAGATCTTTGAACGTAATAAAATTGGTATAATTATCTATACACACGACTTAAACATGTTAAAAACATCTAATCATATAATCATGATTTTGAAATAGCTTTGACTTTATATGCTGTTTTATTCTCCCAGGGTGTGGTAATTAGCATTATTAGCTTACCTAAATGGAGTGTGCTGAACAGAAGAGCCTGCAAATGTCGCGCCATCTCGACATAAGATATGTTTCGCTATTAAATATTTTAGTTGACCAAATAAAGTGCAACTTTGGTGTTCACTCAGTCTAATATGTCAACTTAGCAGAACTAGGTAGAGAAAGTCCCTCAAAAATTTGAGTAACTGTCAGACAGATCATTAACATCAACTCCACCGCCAGGTCCTGCTTTGCTGAACTTTTCAAGTGGCTATTAGTATTAATATATATATATTTCATGTCTAGTGATTTGTAAAGTTTTCTGTCAGCCCAACAAATTATAGCAATATACATAGGCCTACATCTAAAAACAAGGCTGAACAAAGATAGGTAAAACTAACCTAAACTCTAAACACATACTGACATCATTGCTACAGTGCAGCCCTAATAATAACTGACATCTTGCTTTTAACTAATGGGTCCAACCTTCAGTGAAAATATATATATTTTAATTATTCATAATTAAAAACATCAAACTTTGTATTAACTTATGAACAAAATTAGAACACAAGGAGTTGCTGTAGTAATTACAAATTATGCAACATGTGATTCATTTATGAAATAAAAACACAGTTTGGTGAAGACACTTAAAGTCAAACAGTATTAATAATTAACAATTAGTTTGAAAATTAATAAACCTTATATTTGTGTACCACCTTTGACAGAATAGCAGCAAAATTAATTTTACATTATTTTAAATCATTTTCATTTAACAGTTGATGTAGAGCGGATGACAGCATCAACCCCCCTCATTTGTGCAGGAATCCTTAATGTTGGATTGCACTTTGCTTTTCTATTAAATGGGTAGAAGCAGTGGTCGTTCACTCTAACAGAAATGTGCATGATATCCCGAACTTGTCTTGTTTTCTTTTTCAGAGGATGACGTTGAAGGCAATCTCCCTCGTGTGCTTTTATGTGGCCATATCTTCTGCACATCCTGTCTGCTGTCCATTCAGTATGACAGTGCGATTAAATGTCCAGAGTGTGAGGTAAAATTACCTACTTACTGTTGCAACTAGAGCATAGCATAACTCAAGTACTGAAGAAAGTAAATGTACGGTCAGGGTTCATTCATTTCCTGTTTCTCATAATTTGGGCAAAATTAGTCACACAGAGCTATCTTGTGAATTCTGGTCCTGTTTGCCTAATAATTTGGCTATTGTAACTAGATGATATTCATCATAAATTATTGGATGATCCATAAATTTATAGATGAGAAATTGTCAGATGAAGCATATAAATTTAACATTTTCACTGCACAACTAATCATGGCCCAGTGGTCAATTTTGTCCACAATGTAAGTGTTAAACTCACAGAACTTTAGAAGCAGCCTCTTGCAGCATGGCATTTTATCCAATTTTGTGATTGCAGTAATACCGGAAACAGTGTGGCAAGACATTCAACATGCCACATGGGCTGTGGTACAGTTATAAGGCTGCTGAAGCATTTCCTAATGCTTTAACCTATCCTGGTGTGCGATACCTTGGTTGGTAACCAGCCAGCCATTTGTTTAATCCGTCTGTTGAATTTGCATCAAGTTCAAGTAGTAGGATGACAAAACAATGATTAAAAATACAAAGCTCACTCTCTGCAGGTTGAGTCAGCCCTTCCTGAAGGTGGGGTGTATGGACTGCAGGAAGATAGCAGAATCATTGGCCTCATCTACACTGCTAAAATGAACAGGATGAAAAGGTAAAATGTCGTTCTGCACCACACTACTGACATACGTGAAGGCCTATCACAATAATTGGAACACAGTGTTTCCCCTGCCATTGTCGAAAACAACCTTGCTCTCCCTGAAAGAATGACAGAAATATATATAATTAAGCTATTTTCCAAAAAAAGGGACGCGCGAGATCTAGCCCTTAACACACACAGGGAATTTGTTTCTCACTCGTCACCTCAGGAGTTCAATTTATTTGAACTTTAGTCATGCAACGTTGTTCTGATGTCTACCGGAACTGCTTCTGACCTCTGTCAGTGTTTCAGTGTGGCCGGGGCTGCGTTGTGGCTTTTCCACACTGACACCGCACACTGTCATATCAAATGTCATAGTCAAACCACATCGGCAGATCCAAGACGCCAGCCCAGCTTATAGATTTCCTGGCTGTGGGGGCGGAGTCTGATTATCCGTGAAAAAAAATAAAACGTGTAAAACGCGCTTGGTCAAGCTTTGTAAACAAGGATGCGCCCTGCCCACGTGAGAGTAGCGTCGTCAGACCCACTTATACCCTGTGTTCAGCAGCATGTGGAGGCTATCAAGCAATAAACTATTTGATAGAGGACAATTCACAATACATATACTGCAACAACGAATTCATTCTGAATTGTACCATTTGAAATAGTATTATAATAGTAATATAATAGCGTATGTATCAGAATCAGAAATACTTTATTGATCCCCGAGAGGAAATTCTTTTGTCACAATTGCACACTTGTCAAAGGTAGATAGATAAAGGGTATATAAATATAGTATAAATATAGAAAAAAAAGACAAATATAAAGGTGTGTGGGGATGTACAATATTTACATTATTAAGAATTATTATGGTGAACCAAAAAGGACTAGTGAATAAATAGCAGCAGAGAATATTGCACATTAAATATTAAACAGGTCATATTGGACAGAAAATAGATAGTGTCAGACACTTAAAGGGAGGAGTTAAAAAGTTTGATGGCCACAGGCAGGAATGACTTCCTGTGGCGCTCTGTGATGCATTTTGGGGGAATGAGTCTTGCACTGAAAGTGCTCCTGTGTTTGAGCAGCACGTCATGGAGTGGGTAGGACATTGTCCAAGATGACATGTAGGTTTGACAGCATCCTCCTCTCTGACACCACCGACAGAGTCCAGCTCCACCCCCACAAACGTCACTGGCCAGATCAGTTTGTTGAGTATGTTAGCGTCCGCTACCCTCAACCTGCTGGCCCAGCATGCAACAGCAAACATGATAGCACTGGCCACCACAGATTCATAAAACATCCTCAGCATCGTCCTGCAAGTGTTGAAGGACCTTAGCCTCCTCAGAAAATAGAGACGGCTTTGGCCCTTCCTGTAGAGGGGCTTGGCCCAGTCCAGTTTATTGTCCATGTGGACTCCCAGGTATTTGTACTTGTGAACTGTCCCCATAAATAATTACACATGCATTTGAATAGGCCACTCTATAGTGAATAAAATTTCAACATTTCAATAAGAAAATATTGAATTGTTGAAATTTTATTCACCACCACATGATTATACACTTTCTGATGACAAAAGTTGTTTAAATTGTAAAACACAGAATTCAGAAAGATTTTAAAAGAGAACACGGTATGTAGCAAAAATTAAAAAGAATCTTGCAAATATTTTGCAGTTTTTTTCAATTGCTCTGTGAAAGGGTGTACTTGAATTACTCTGGCTATTATGTTATCATTATATAAGTGTCTTAAATTGACTAATTTTGATTATTGTAATTATTTCATCCAACAAAAGTAGTTATTGTGACAGGCCTACATACATGCAGTTTAACAATTCTTTTGAACAACATGTGTAGGGATGGTGATCGTTTATTTTTATTGATATTTAAACCTTTATTGAGACTGCTTAATGATCCGATTCTGATATCGATACCACTATCGATACTTAACTATTATTTGGTGATGGTTATTTGGTAAGACCAGCCCCAACGGGCATGAGGTAGGCCTGCGCGATATGAGGAAAATATTCAATATGTAATAACATTGTTATATATTGAAATGAAATATGACTTGTGATAAATAAATGTATTTTCAAGTGTGCATATTAGCTGCCTGGTTGTTTTTAAATTATTTATAGGATTAGAATTTAATATTTTAAATAAACCTAAATGTTGTTTCTAGAGCAGCAACATTAATGTTTACAACAGCAAAGTCACTATATATAAACTCAATATCGGACATCACAAAAAGAATAAAAAATTCAGTCTGTGTCAGACCTTCCTCCTCCTCCTGCTGTTATTCACTGCCTGCAGGTAACGTTACCTGGTAAGTGAGTTTACAACAAGTGTAGCTGTCATCAACTCGAGTAGTTTGGAGCTAACTTAACCCTCACCGTCTCCACCGTGACGGTGCGGCGTCTCTCTCTGATGGCAGCTGTGTATGTAGGAGCCAACAGAGAGCAGCAGAGGCTGTAGCCTGATGATAAACAGCCCCGGGACCGTTTAATACCGCATTTCGGTGCCATCATTAGAAACATTAGTTTTCTTATCCATCACGTTTCAAGATAAATCAGATTTGACGCTCAAGACAGAACGGTACAGACCCACTAGCCTCGATAGCAGTATCAAAAAGCTTGGATGTTATTGATTTTTGGGATTTGAGCAATGTTGGAACCGGATCCTTTTAGAACCAGGTCTTGATCCCCATCCCTAAACATGTCTTTCTTGTATAATCCAGTTGTTGTCATACATTTTTAAAAGAGAATTGGACATTACTGTGATAACCGCTTTCGTCTCCTGAAGTCTCCGATGTGACAGGTCAAAGAATCGCAGAAGGAACAAATCACCGTCCACAGACATTACAGCCAAAAACGAGGATATGGAGCAGGTATGGGGGTGTAGTGGCTAAAGAGTTACAGTAAACATACATTATTCAGATTAAAAAGATTAAAATTCTGGTTATGTTTTATTCAGCCAGTTGATATTGAGAAGATTGAGAGGGCGGTGGATGAGGCGTTGGTCCATGCTGCAAAAAATCTTACCCTTCTGGAACACATACATGAGGTAAAAGCTGCACTGGATCCAAAAAACTGCAAACACCTTGCAGAACAAAATTGTCGACATTATGTATTTCCTAAAAGGAAATCATCACTTAAAAAAAATCAGAAAATTGAAAACTTTTTTTGGTGAGTTTGATGCTGGAGTGTTCTGTGTTTGTCTCATCTGTGCAGACTTTGACGACTGGTCTGGCAGAACAGGTGAAGAGAGAGCAAGCTCGACTGGAGCTAGAGATCAAGCAAGCTGTAGAGAAGGCTGCGCATGCTATTCAAAAGTGGTATGGGCATAAACTGCCAAAAATGTAGTTAAAATAGTAAAGGCTGTATAATAAGATCCCATGTTCTTTTATTGAAACCAATGATTGAACACTGGTCTTTTTCTTTTCAGATTGTTTTGTTCTTCTGAAAATCAAACGGGCCAGTATCAGTCTAGTAATAATGTTTTCCGGAGATTGTTTGTAAAGCGACATTAATCTGAATATTCTGTAAATTTTTTTGTCAATAGGAAGGATGTGCAGTTAAGTCAGCTGACAAAACTGGAGGCACGATTCTCCTCCAGCCAAGCGGAGGTGAGCTCTATCCAGGAGAGGATTAAGGCCCTTGAAATTGCCATGCAGATGGCCAGAGAAGTTCGCCGTGTCCCCTTCCTGGAGCAGTACTGCACCCTGGATAATGTATGTAACCGATACTTACTAGTGAGTACCTAATGCACGGTCAGATAAAATAAAACTGAGGACATTCTGCTGAACTCTGGCTATTTTCCAACAATTTACACCTTGAAAGTATACAGTCAGGCAAAATGGTTAAAAATACAGTGGCTGGTGTATTTTGCTGCGTGTTTGTGTGTGGGTGACAGGTTCTAGAGACGTTGCAGGCTCCTGTGGATAACCAGTCCTTCGATATGAAATGCATTACTATGGGCTCTGGAATGAGGTTTGTGACTTTAAGCCTCAAGTTTGTTTGCGGTGTTTGTTAGATAGCTATATAGTTTTTGTTTCTCTGTCGGCTACTGTAGCAGGTAACCAACTTGTGTTTTAAATTTCAACAAATCTGCCAAAATAGAAACATTTGAAATATTCATGTACTGAACCACTGTTCATTTTCCCTTCCCTGTATTATTGTGCTGTAATTGTATGAAGCATGGGAACCTCACAAACATTAGTGATGGGCTTTGACTTACACTATTGATTTTGAATTTGGGGTATGCATGTTTGTATTGTAGCTGTGTTTACCAGTCAGAAGGTCTGAACCAGAGTCTGTCATTGTCTCTGAAGATGGAAGTCGGTGTCCCAAAGCAGTGAGTCCCTAAATATATTCCAATATGTCATGTGGATTTATTAGTTGAAATTGCAAAAAGCCTCTTCATTCTTTAATGTTTCTGTATCTGTCTTTACCATAGTAAACAGGCATGGCCATGAGGAGAGTTTAGCTCATTTGTGCTACTTGTTTTGTACCATATCTGCTACTATTAGGTTTAAGTAGGGCTGCATTATCATTATCCAAGCTCACACCGGGGCTCTCGCATATGCCTCTAAAACAGATAAGCCTACGTGCAATCAGTGTCACTTTTCATCAACCAAACAATCACAGCCTGGATGGGGCGGGACATTAAAAAAAAGTTTGACGTGCTACAGCAAACTTTACAATGTTGAACAATATGAATATTAACAAATTAGAGACTGATGTAGAGCCTTTTTCTTGCAAGGATTTAATGAATAAAAACAACCCACAGAAATGAAACAGCTGTAACTGGATTTAATATTCAAATATACTATACAGTATACTGTTAACTGAACATTATACTCTTTATTTAATGTTATAATATTATACTAATACACTCATACTAGTTCCTCCTCCAGGTTGTGGATAGTGTCTCTGCAGTGGACAGTTGTATATTGAGCCGATGCCAGTGTGGCAATATTTGCTGCCTCTAGCCGCCTCCGTAGAACAACACGCTCCCCTTGTTCTGTTTTACATAATTTTTACTAGTTATTGTTATAAACATTGTTTAACTTTGTTCAAGTTGAGAAATGCACATTTTAAAATGTCAGAATCTTGTGCATTTTCCTTGATATTGTACCATTTGTTCAATTATAAACGAGTCACAAATCGCAATATTGTCCACAATAATCGCAATATGACCTTTTCTCCAAATCGTGCAGCCCTAGGTTTAAGTATATTTTAAGTTGATTATGTTATGTCAAAACATTGATGAGCAGGAAAATACTACACCCAATACACGTAGTACACTCCCCTGTAATTGCTTCAAATCTTGAAATTTTGCATCTGCTGCCCATTGTGTTAAGTTACATACATACAATTTATTTAATTGGATTACATTTTTCTTGTTTATATGGCTCTCAACTCATGTGGCATTTGTGTTTTAAAACCAAGTGCTCGCTCTGTTCCCTATTAGATTGTCAGAATCTCCACCCAAAGGCCACCAGCTGGGCAACTCAAACATAAAGTCTTTCTGGGAAGATGTAGAGGGAAGCAACAGCAACGAGCTCCCGACGCCACAAAAACAGGGCCGGGAAATCCCGGGAGCTAACAGGTCATCGTTGCAAGGCTCCTCTCCAAGCCCAAGACCTCGTCGCAACCTTTCTCGCCACAGCTCGGCCTCAGACCTCGGAACTCAAGATGTAATTATTGAGGAACTATTTGATGAGGGACAGAAGCACCGTGAGTGTGTTGCTTTGATTTCAATTAGATAATGTCAGATCCGGTCAGAACATGAAATTGCTTATGAAGGAGGCAGAAGAGAAGCCTAAATCTGTTTTTGTAATATGCTTTGTATCCTTCTGCAGCTCCCCCACCCACGGGCCCTGAGCTGGCTAACGACAAGTCGAGAATCCACACGAAAAGGAAAAATATCTTGTCTGCCAATAAGAGAAATGGTAGTTGTATAGTTATAAGACTTTTTGAAGATAAAACATAATTGATTAATCGCATGTAGGCAGATACAATGTCTATGAAATCTTCAAAATGTGTTGTCACAGGTAAATAACAATAGTCTTCAAGACTGGTAGATAATATGCAGTACATATAACCAACTGATCTGTGTAGCAAATTTTGTGCCATTTTCAACTTCAAATCTTCTCTCATGACGTTTTGTGACACTGTTAATTTTGACAACTGAACCGATTTAATCTTTCTTGTCCATTTCTAATATAAAAAAGTCAGTGGACACCTTCAACTAGTAGGAAATTTAATTTATCCATGGCGGCAAAATGAACAGAAAACACTTACACACACTATAGACAGATGGGTGGAAAATTGATGGCCCAGCTACTGTACAGCCAGGCAATGAACAACCCATAATACAACACTTCATGGTCACTTTGTAACCCTCCATTCTCTATCCTCTCCATCTCTGAAAACTACTATCTCATTGTCCTTATTTTCCTCTTCATCATCTCTCTCTTCCTCTTCTCCTGCCTTCTACCCTTCTTCTCTTTGTCTGTCATCCATCCGTTTTCCTATTTTCTCATCCTCTTTCTCTCACACCTCTCATCCCTTAATTTCTGCTGCCCCTACTACCTTCCTTCTCCTTGCTTCTCTCTCCTAGTCCCCCAGTGGGTGGTGGTAACCCACATTGTGAATCCAAGTCACTTCTACATCCGCTATGTGGCCGAGAAGAGGGCAAGCGAGATGTTGTCTAAGAAGATCAACTCCTTCTGCTCCAGAGATAGCTGTCGTTTTACTTCCAGTGACACAATGGAGACCGGTGTGTGTGTGTGTGTGTGTGTGTGTTGTGTTGTAGTTTTTTACTTTCAGTTTAAGTGTATTCTGCATAGCAATGAAAGTTAATGTTATTGTTGAATGTAATGGTTAAAGTGTTCACCAAATTGATGTTTAGCAAATTAGCCTGCCAATGAATTCATTAGTTGGTCAGTGTGCTCTTAATTGAATACGAATTCCATTGTAATATTGAGAATGCATCGCACAATCACTCATCCTCTCAGAGTGGTGTGAAACATATTTGCCATGTGATTCAGCCATCGTTTTTTTTTTTTTGCTCCTCTCCAGGCTCCATGATCTTTGTTACGTGGAAAGACGGTCTTTGGTGCCGGGCCCGTGTGGTTCAAGTCTTGCAGAAAGGATATGTGGAGGCTGTGCAAACCTGCCTAGTCACCCAGCTGGCCAATTTACGTGTCTTCTTGCTTGACTATGGCTTCACCAAAAGCCTCACCATAGAGAGGTATACACACACAAATGTGCAGAAGGCATACATATCAGTGTCTCCCACAGGTTTAAAATGGAGCCTTGCTGCTGAGCCAAGGACAGAAGCAAATTCATAGTGATAAATTTGACCTCTCCCCTTAGGAAAAACTAGGTGGTCCCAGAAACAAAATGCTACCTAGCACTGCAATCCATACTGCTACATCTGCCATCACTGCCTACTTCCCAGAAACAGCAGTTAACAATTGTTTTTGCGCTTCCTCTGTTATCCATGCACAGGTCTACTTGTGTTTTAAACATCTAGACCTGAATGGATGTATCTGTTTTAACTGTCTGTACCGAGTAACTAATCGTATCATGTTATTAGAATATTTCAGCAAAGTATTTCAGCATGGACCCAGTTTGAAGAAGTTATTCCACCAGTGTATTTTGGCTGGGTTTGTTGTTGATGCTTATTTCATCTGATGAGTTGCACATAACACATACAGGGTTTGTATGGTCATGAAAAACCTGAAAAAGTTATGGAATTTGAAAATGGCCTGTAGAAGTTTTGGACAAATAAACGAATATTGAATATTTTGGAAAAGTCCTGGGAATTTGCTTTACAAATACCTGTATAATAGAGTATATGTGGTTCAATTAAGATCGACTGAGAAAAATCTATATTGTTTGGGCAGATCAGTCACATCATCATTTTATGGATGTAGCACGGCCATTCTTAGGTTTTGCGAGCACCGGTGGATTGAGAATGTCAGTGTGTCAGAACATCGAGATGGTAGGGCAAGGTGAACTACCAAATCCAAAAGTGAAGTCATTTGAGGAGGTGAAGATCCGTTGTGCTGATCCTCTTTTTACATTGAGAGTGGGGATAATTAACAGCATTGCCAGAGAAATCAACCCCTTCCTTACCATGTATCAAGCGGACCAACCAATACTGCCCTTCTTCTCTGAGGACTTGCACAAACTGATTAAAGGTAAGGATAAACATATTTATGATGGAATTGCTAATTGTAGTCATTAGAAACACACAAATAAATCAAGTGTGGCTATTTCCTTTTTTTCCCATTTTATGGTTCCAGATTCAGAGCAAAATGTGAAAGTATAACAGGTTAATGAAACATCATAAAGCTACCATTGATGATGGTGCATTGCTGTCTGTCACGTATATAGTTTTGTTTTCATTTTTACATAATTTCTGTAAGAGCAATTAGTAACGGGCAGGCATAAAGAGTGAATGGAATCTTACATAATGCATGTATTTATCTTTAAATGACTAAAATAAAATGGATGATTATTTAATGCACATAATAGAATCAGCATACATCACTGTAGTTTGTATGACCTAAACTATGAATGTGTAATATTCACTCATTTGGTGTGTTTAACTAAAAGATACACTTGTAAATTTGTAAATTAAGGGTGATCAAACTTACTTTTTAATTGTTTACAGGGGTCATGAGATGATGTCTGAAAAGAAAGCATCTGCTGAAAGAGGCCACATCCACACTGAAGCTCCTCCATGTACTTTTTCAGGACAGCAGTCCGCACAAGGATATTTTTCAGACTGATATTGTATTTGCAGCCGAAGCCACCCTCAGCTGAATGCAAAACACTTCAGAGACTAGAGATTAAGATGGACTACAAGAAACTCTTGATCACACTCCTTGAGAAGTTGCTAAAAAAAAAGGCTCCAGTGCATGACATTAGTGTGAAGCATGCAGTGGCTCAACCCAAGATGCATGGTTCAATCTAAGGAGCTATCCGTAAGTCAAATGAAAACAACGTTGAACGTACTTGTTAATGCTAAACACAGTTAAGACAATGTGTGATGATACCCTCAGGGAGTTTAGTGCTTTGGCTGCTCTTTAAATTTGGGGAATATGACCACAAAACAGATCGAGTAGACACCTTGCTTTATGAAACAATTGGAACAGATCATTATTTTCCAGTGTGATGGATGTGGTGAAGATTCTGCTTGTTTTGTCTCATGGCCAAACCGGTGTGTCGAAAGGATTTTCCATTTACAAAGAATTGATTGAGGAGAATCAGAAAGAGAGGTCTGTGGTGGGCAAGAGGCTCACTGTCCTTGTCTATTCTGTTGGGCGCATAACCATGGTACATATCACAAAAGATCTGCTTCTTTCAGCTGTGGGAGCCAAGCTTAAGCACTACTTGGATGAAGAAAAGAGAAAGAAATAACAGCAATCTCTTAATCAGCAATCTCTCAACTTAAAGAGGAAGGCCCTCACAGATGAGCTAGATTTGAAAAGAAGAGGGCTAGGATAGGAGGCTTATATATGTGCCCTTGAGAATTCTGCAGATGAATACACTGAAAAGGAAAGAAGCTACAAGCAAACTGACCTTCATCACCAAATCTAACAGTTTCTGCCGAACTGCAAAAGAAAAGAAATCTCTGCTGATGAAAGGCATATTGACGAGGAGCTTGCAGAAATGAAAAGTGAACTGTGTGGATTGTTTTTGTGGCATTCAAACACAGGGAAGCTTATCTTCTGTTAAGGCCCAGTTATGTTAATGGTAAATAGGAGGCAGAATTGGTTTCTATACAGAATCTTGTATTCCAAAAGACTGGACACTTTTTTTGTTTATTTTTCATTTCGTTATTTGTTGTTATTGTATACCGTTTCCTCCTAGTCATTTATGATAATTAAGGCTAAACATGGAGTCTTTAGGGTTTGCCACATTTTTTTTTTCTGTTAACATCTTACTGGTCAGGGTTTTCCCTGCATAAAGAAATTTTTGCCACTTCACTTGTTGCCTGTAGTACCCTCCCCTGTAGTTGATGTTGCCCCAGTCACAGTCTCCGCAGGGAGATTGGGATTGTGTGCCTTTCTTGCGGTCATGTGAATAGTTGCTTGTCAAAGTCACTTTTAGGGGACCAATCACAGCCTGAAGTAGGCGGGACAATAAAAAAAGGTTGAGGCACTACAGCAAACTTTAGAAACGTTGAACTCATTCTTTATGCATGGTTTTTATCATTGACAATTGTACTTTGCATAAACAAGAGATTAAAACAACCCACAAAAATGGAAATGCTGTTTTGTCCAATTGGAATTAATATTAGGCTTCTAGTGGTAAGCTGTATAGTAGCCTGTACTATTATCTGAAATTATCATGAACAAACTTAACATTAGCCCTAATCAAACCTTAACCACAGTGGTGTAGGCTAATATTAGAAAATGGTTTTATGAGTGAAACAGCTCAATTAATAAACTTATCTACAGGCAGATTATTCAAATAAAGTGTAACCTGTAAATATATTATCATACTAACATTATAATTTCTGTAATATTTATTAATACAGCAATTTATACTTTTACTCCTCCAGGTTGTGGATATATTTTGTTTATGAAATGGTCTGAAATAATAAGAAAATGCATAGATTTAGGTCATAAGGTAACGCATTGCCTTTACTGTATGTGTACAGATCATGATTACTGTCGATTACTGTTAACCGAGGTTAAAATTGACCTCAAAGGCATGGAAAAGTCATGGAAATGTATTGGTAAAAATGTGTATGAACCCTGTATATACAAACCCTATTTGCAGAGAATCTGACAATGGTGACCACAGAATGTTGAGCAGCTAAAGTTTTCTATCAAGGAAAAATGGACAAAAATTCCACTTCCCATATGATAGTGTTATTAAAAGGAAAGGTGATGTAACACAATGATAAACATGCCTCTGTCCCCAACTTTTGTTGTGTGTTGCAGACATGAAATTCGCAGAAATGAAAAAGTATTTACAAAATATAATTACGCTGGTCAGTAGAACTATTGAAAGTCTTTTCTTTATGTTTTGTAATAAAGGTTAATGTGAATTTACAAATGCCAGAATTTTGTTTTTAATGCATTTTGGAAAATATCTCAATTCTGAAACTAAGGTTTGAAGTATGTACAGCATAAATGCTTAACAGACCCATTTTGAATGTCTTGATTGTGAAGTATTTCTTTTAGTTATTCAGTTGAATGCTGTACATTGTTGTTCTATGATATCCTCTTCTCTGACCCCTTTTACAGTGAGGAAGGGACTACTGAGTCTTTACTGAAGGCTGTGAACAACCACCTGAGGAAGGTGGGTGAGGCAGTGAAAGTGGAACTGGGTCGTTTTGTTCCACAGGCCATCAGATGTTCACTCAAGGACCTGGTCCCGTATGACCTGGTAAGACCACTAAGATTTAAACAGATACAGTATTTGTTATGTTGATGACATTGATGTTGATACCGGGAGACAGAAAAGACCAGTGTGAGCTTGTTTACCTCACCAACCACAGCAATACTGTAAAGGTTGCACAGAAAGGAAAACAATTATATCATAGCCAACCAATGTCCACCTTCCTCTAGCAACAGTAGAACTGGTGTTGTAGATAAACAGAAATAAGACTGAGAAAGGCGGAAGGTACCTACAGTACTTTTTTTTTTTTTTTTTTAACCTTTATTAGCCAGGTTTGTCCCATTAAGAACATCGGGTCAAATCCGCTAGGATTTTGTTCAGCAGCGGGGGCAGGCCAAATCCCTAGTTTTTAAATTCAAGGATAAGATGTGAATATTTTTAATATATGATAATGTTTCTAGAGCAGCATCATTAAAGTTTGCAACAGTAAAGTCACTGTGTAAACTGAAATGAAGAACTAAGACATCAGTCCGTACCAGTCCTTCCTCCTGTCCTCCACCTCCTTTCTCTGATTTTATTCTCTGTCTGCAGGTAACATTACCTGGTAGAGAGGAGGGCTGGTTTGTCTCATTTAGCAGCTATGTTTACAACAACCTGCCAAATTGTAAGCTAAGTGGCAAACAAAGCAAAACAGTTAGACTCAAGGCGGCTTTTAATTTAGCTTGTTTGCAAACAGAGAATGAGCGACGGTGGATAGAGCAGATTAAATGTAGGTAGAAAAAATGTGGAATTACTTCTTCATCACATGACATCTATTAAAATTCGGAAAGAGGCGGCAACAATTATTTTGTCAGCTTTTCCAAAAATGTACAAGATGATCAGAATTGAATTTCTTTTACAGTCAGGGTTAATGTGTCTACTTTTGTGGTTAATTTGTATTGTGAAATGTAATGTTTTTTGTTAATTTATGTTGTTTGCAAACAGCAGCAGTATTAGTAGGTGTGTTTACTTTGTGTGTGTCTTTTCAGACAAAGGGCTGGAGCAAAGAGGCACAGGTTGAGTTCCACAATGTGGTTGGTTCTGCAGCAGTGGAGATGCGGCCTTTGGGTCACGACAGAGACCTTTTATTGGTGGACCTGAGAAAAGCTCCCATGGACCAATCAAGTGATGTGCCCATCTCTGTCAGAGAGTACCTTGTTTTCATTGAAGTGGCCAGGTACGTATGTGCAAATTACCAGGAAAAATTCAAATAAGGAAATTACTTATTTGATGTCATTGAATATTGAATCAAGAGTCAAATCGTAGTGGTCTAACTTTGGCTGTTCTCCCCCATAAAAAAAGGTTTTATTCTCCTGTGACGTTGGGAACGAAGACCCTGCTGTTTTACCCTCCTGTCTATCCCAAGATCAACACTGAAGTCAATGCCGTGGTGTCCCACATCAACAACCCTGCTGACTTCTACATCCAGCTGGTGCTAATTATACACATAAATGAACACATATGCACTCTATTTCAGGGGTGTGATGAGATCTCGTGCCACAAGGTCAATATATACATCCAAAAACTGATGCATGAACGTCGTTTAGGGCTGTTGACCTTTTTAAATACTGACACAGAACACACAGGCAGGCAGGGTAATCAGGCATAGGTGAGACCCGTCAGGGCAGGCATCTCGTGAACCCAATATCGTGTCCTTCCTGTGAGCTAAGCGTCTTGTCACACCCCTACTCTGTAAATATCTGACATAACAAAAGCCATCTTTGCTCTATTTATTGCAACTATCTTTTTTTTGGTCTATTTTTTTATTCCACTATCTTTTTACTTTGTTTGTCCCCTCCAAAACCAGGTTGATAACATGGAGTACTTGCTGCTCTCAGCCAAGCTTCAGGATTGTTACAATGAGAGTACAGTGGCTGCAGAAGATGACCTCTGTATCTACTGCCCTGTAATCGGACAGGCCTGTGTTGCCCGCTACGATGACAAGTATTGGTACAGAGCTCAGATTATAGGTAAGGGTGTGTTTAGTTTGAATAAATGTCTGCGGGTACTGCGTATAAGTGTAATCTCATAGTGATTCAACCTATATTCAGACATTGCGGCTGTTTTATAACTCTACTGGTGTTCCAGAGTGCCTCTCATGTCAAAAATCTGAGGTTTTCAAACTTCTGAATTGAATTTGCTCTATACGTTAACTATTTGTCTGCTGTGGATGACTTCTACTGCTACCCGGAATTTACCCGACATGGAGTACACTAAAGTAAGTGTGTGTGTGTGTGTGTGTGTGTGTGTGTGTGTGTGTGTGTAGGTCATCCAGGGGGCAGAAAAGTGGAAGTGCGTTATGTAGACTTTGGCAATAAAAACATCTTGTCAGTCAGCGACTTGAGGAAGATCAAGGATGAGTTCTTTGCCCTTCCTTCCAAGGTGAGAACAAAGCATTTGCTTGATCAACTGATTTTCTTATACTTTTGTGTAGGGTTGGGTACCAAAATCCCATGTCAATGTGGAACCGGTTCCACGGATGACTGGTATCTAGCGGACCTAATTAGAATGCAAATTTCTGTAACTATTTTCCTTCTGGTGCGCCAAAGCGTCGTCACTATACTAAGAAAAGCCAATCAGATGATGCAGTACTCGCCAGACAGTTTTTCAACGGCAGGTAAGATAGTTTCACTACGCAGTCTGAGCAGTTTTCAGTGCTAGCTAGCACCAAAATCCTTATCAGACAGGAAGCGATTGATGCGGCCAGTTTATCATTTACAATGAGAGTTGAGCAACAATCAGACAAGTGTAGCAACAAACAGGAGATATCATGAAGCTGTTGCTGTCCTGCTCATCTCACCACCCGCTACCAGAGTTTAATTGTCTTCACCCGCAGGCAGAGAGAGAGACGGATCCTTCAGTGTTAGTTTCCAGATGCAAAGAGAGGCGCCACCCAATCAGCTGACTGCCTCTCTCTCTCTTTTTCCTTTTTTTTTAAAAATCTGGTTAAGTCTTCGGTCTTATCAGTCATGCAAACCAAAAACACGATGCTACTGAAAGAGTTTTAGTTTCAGTATTTATATTTAAATATTTTATACTGCGTAAATAACAGTTATCCTTGTGTGCATGATGTTGCCTTGTTTAGGCTACTTTGCGACGACTCCCAGTCTGGTTTCACAGTCTCTTTGTACTGCTGTGTTACTTTCAGTAACTGTTCCACATTGGTGTGGTTATTCACCGTCTTTAGCCAAATCTTCTGCAACTGCGGAATAGACCATCTGCTTCATGTTTACATCAGCTTGCGCATGCCCAGTGTATGTGAACAGCCACTATATGTGTGTTTTCAGTCGTTTTAATATAGACAGAGATCAACTCTGATATGCAGCTAAAACGCTGCTGTGGACGGAGAAGATCGTATTGTTATAAAACTGTTTAAAAAACTGTAGTAGTGTGGATGTAGCCTCACATTACCCCACTCCTCTCTCTACTTCTCTCATGTAAACCCTCCAGTTTTTCCGTTCTCACCCGGTATCCTCCCGTCAAATGTTTCCCTGTAAATCTTCCGTATTTTTAACCATAATAAAATCAAATAAAAACCTGCTGGCTGTATTTAAAGTGTTTGCCACGCTCTCCTCTGTTAAAACCAGTGTATTAATATGTAAAGATGCTGTTTGTTCTGTCCATGTTTCCTGGCAATAAAATAAACAGTTGTCATTTCATGATACTTTACCATCTGTTCATTTTAATACTTAATCCATTGTTTTTAGGACTAATTAAATAAATATACAGTATACTGTATAATGCTACATGAGAAATAGAAGGCTTCAAATCGGTATCGGCTGATACTGCTTTCAGCAAATCCTGATCAGAGCACGCTCTATTGAAAATGTTTTGTTAAAGTGTTGTGTTTTGTATTTATATATATTTATATTAAGTGTACTTTAAATAAATATATAAATAAAAATGTAAAAAATGTGTATATATATTTTAAGTATAGGTTCAGGCAATGTTTAGGCACTGGAACCGTTTTAAAACTATCGATTTGGCACTGGAATCTTGAAATCCAAACGATACCCAACCCAACTTATGTGTGCCCTGAAGGGTAATATCAGACATTGACTGTCCTGGATTAAAATCCTTAAGGAAAATAATTGTTCTTGATTATGTCTAGAACCAGCGTGCTGCAATTAATATCTGATACCAATTCATTGGTATTAAAATTGGCCAAGAAAAGATAAACAAGTTAATTATTTACATTACACTGAAATGTTGATATTTTCCATTAGCAAATAAGTTCTATTTACACAAGTGCTGGGTCAAAAAGTCAACCGTAAGTATCTTTTCTGCTGTCCAGGCAATCCACTGCTGTTTGTCAGATATGATTCCGCTGGATGGAGAGACCTGGAGTGATGCCTGCACCAACAGATTCATCAGTCTAGCTCACCAGAAACTGGTCACTATTGTGGCAAAAGGTACTGTGTGAATGGATATGTGCGAATTTTTCTGATTTCTTTGAGTGTCACACACCAGGCTTGTATTTTTAATATCACACTCACTTGTCACCAAAACCCCATTTTGTGCTCTGTGTGTGTTTTCCCTTCATTTTTATTTCCTTCCTTAAACTCCTCCAGGACCAGTCCACAAGACGGAGCCTCTGCCAGTGAGACTGTTTGAGAGCAGCCTGATTGGGCCACTATCCAATATAGCTGAGCTGCTGGTCAGAGAGCAGCTGGCCTGCTTCAAAGAGGAGTGAGACTTGTCTGGAGTATCTTCCACAACTTGTATTTATAGTTTTGGATGAATGAGAAAAACACCAAATTTAAAATGGATTTTTCACCATTGAAGAAATAGTGGTTGGATTCTAATGTGGTACATGCACAACACCAATGATGGACCATGTGTGACGGCTGATATTGTAAATGATGTAGTATGAGCAATATCAAGCCTTCCCTAATTTTAATTCAGTATTTGTTTTGTTTACTTCTTTATTGTATCACATTGTCATCTTTATTCTTACAAGTTTTTCCTCACACTCTTTCCCTCCACCTCTTGGTGCCCCACCCTATCTCCTCAAATTCCTCCTTCCTAACTGCAGACTTAAGTCCAACGATGACAGTCCCCCTTGTGATGACTCTGCCACATGGGACCCTCCACTTGAGCATGATTCGGGCAAGGATGAAAAAACCTCCGGAGAGCAGACTGAGGAGCCCCTGGAATTTCAGCCTCAGCTGAAGCTTCCTGCTCAACTCAAAGACTTGAAAGTCAGAGTCAGCCATGTGAACTCACCAAGCAGCTTTTATGTCCATCTCACCCAGTATGACTCTCAGATCAAAAGGTTAGCAGCAAAACCAGGATTTAAAAATATTTTAAATAAAGCAAATATTGATACAGGAGAAAAAAATATTCCTCTTCCAGTCTATTATTTTTCTGTCATTTCATTAATGAACAATTCAACTATTGATTAATATTGTCAAGCTGTTCCAAGCTGTATTTGCTGTATTTGCTGGTTCCAGCTTCTTAAATGTGAATATTTGCTTATTCTCTTTTTCTACGTTGTTGTAAATGGAATGTTATATTTCTGCAGTGCTAGTAGGAAAAACAAGTAATCTGAGTGCGTCACCTTTAACTCTTTTTTGGGGGGGGGATTTGTATTTTTCTCAGTTTTCCTGACATTGTATGAACTGAAAAAATTATACCATTTTAAATTAACAAAATAATCTAACGTTAACCGATAATGAAAACTATCTTTAGTTGCTGCCTTACCTCTTATACCATGGTACACAGCTATACACTTCAAGCTAGGTTTGCTAGGTTATTTTAGTTTGCTAATGTTTGAACTGTACAAGCATGACAAGGCAATACTTTTTGAAAGGACAAATACAGGGTGCTCTCTGGGATAGCTTCAGGCACGATAGCCTAGGATATGATTAAATGCCTTCGGTTGTTTAGGGCATGAACATGAACAGCGAACATCCTGCAATTTTCAACAGCTACATAAATCTGTGTGAAGCAATTAAGGAAAGGATGTTGCAAGTATATAGTGTTAGTTCTGCTAATATCTTGCCATGTTTTTTTAGGGTATGTGAGCTGGTGAAGCAGGAGTGTGCAACTATGGAGCTCGCAGATGTGATGTGGAAGGCAGACATGTACTGTGCTGCTCACATTAATGGGGTTTGGGAAAGAGGACAGATCTGCTCCGACGTCACATCCAGCAACATAGCAGAGGTTAAAAAAAAAAAAAAATGATGCTCCCAAAGAGCAGCCTGAAAGTAGTGGTAGTCTTCTATCACATCTTTTTACAGCCATTTTACTGCAACACAAGAAATTTTGAGTCAGTAAGTTGTGTCCTTGTTTAATTATGATGTGCTGGATAACGGTGGCTGTGTCTCCCTGTCTCTCTGCTGACTGGAATCAGGTGATGCGCTGTGACCATGGCAATACGGTGAAGCTCCACATCAACAACCTGCGGCCACTGCCGCCCTCCTTGAAGGGCACTCTGGCACTGGAGTGCACTCTCACTGACATCAGGTTACACACACACGCTTAGTCATGCACCAAGTCATGTACACAGCATGGATCCATCCATAAAATAGACACACACACACACACACACACACACACACTGGGGGTTCACTTTGTTTTGAACATTAGATTGCAATGATGTACTGTAAGTTACACTGTCCAACTATTCTCTTCATTTTAAAAGAATGTGATTTAAATGCTTTAGTGGTGCTGAAATAGTAGGTATTTATTGTGTGTAAAGTTTTTAATCAGATAATATGCTTCACAGTGGTTGTGGAGGCAGAGTTTCATACATGGAGTTTGTGTCTCCCTTTTCTTATGACAGCTGCTTTACAATTTTAGTATTTTGTTTTGGGTGAAATGTGTATTATGCGGTTTACATTTCTTTCTCAGTGTTTGATATCACTTTTTCTTCTTTTTCTCTTTTAGGCCAGCAGGGGGCCGATCCACCTGGACGGCTACAGCCTGCGACCTATTCTCCTTCTACCTGACCGGAGCCTCGGCTGTTATGACCATCAAGGTCTCTCTTCCCTTTATTCTCCTCATGCCCCCACTTCTACTCAAGTTTGTTTTCATTATCTACATACAGTAGTTTATAAAGATTAATCATTTCGTCAAGTCAATACCTTCAATGGTGCTCCGCCGTTTTTTTTAGTTACTTTGCTCTTCACTATGTATGCTACTTCTTTTTCTTTGTTGCTGTAATGACCTAGTTTAAGAGTGTGTATATCCCTCTCCTCTGTTGTTCAGGAGTTGACAGATGAGCGTCCTGTACCCGTTACTTTGTTATGTTCCAACAAGATAGGACAGTTAATCAGCATTGCAGACTTTTGGCCAGTGAGGGCCTCGCTCTCAGAGAAAGAAAACCAAGGTCTGTGTGTGCATGCGTGCCTCATGCATGGAGGTGTATGTGTGTGATTATTATGACGTACAGATCTTAAAGTGGTCATATTATGCTCATTTTCAGGTTCATATTATTTACGGGTTGTACTCGGTTTACATGCTTAGAATTTTTTTCCATATTTAATGTTCTCTTTTCACTCTGTGTCTTGAACACTTCGTCTTAGCTACGGAGTGATGCATCTCACTTCTACAAGAACTTTGTTGGGAGTTGCACATGCACAGTTCCTAGTTAAGGACTACTAGCCAATCAGAAGCAGAGTAGGGTGGGCCCTGAAAAGCCAGTAAACAAGGCTTCGGTCCAGCTGTATATGTTCCCCTTACCAGCTTAGCAACATGGACTAGAGCAAGAGTTTCAGAGTGGTGAGTTCTTAATCTGTAACAAATGTGTCTTTGATCCATAAAGTGAGCTCTGTCTCTACATCACAGTAACAACTTTATGTTTGAATTAACCCTGCAAGCTGTTGCATTATCTATCTGTATTTTATATTGATGTTTTTACCTTGCTTTTATGATTGTAACTGTTTCACTTTGAGATTTGCTTCAAATGTAAAGTGCATTACAAATAAAATGTATTATTATTTTCAGAGCAGTGTTTTCGGTGGGAGGTGGGAACTCCATTTGGGGTGGACTTTGGGTTTTTTCACTTTGCATACCTATTACATGCACAAAAATATACATAACTCCATAAAGAGAAAAAGCCAAAAGCATAATATGACCTCTTTAAAGAACTATGCAACCTTTTCTTTTTCTTGTCTATATGTCTTTTTGAGTATCTTTCTTTCTGGTAAACATTTCTACACATAAGAATCTCTGAATAAAGACAAAAAATACAGATGCAAGAACAATTTTGACAATCTTATTAGCAACTATTTACTATTGGACTGTTATTGTCAACTGCTTCAGTGGTCACAAGGGTCTGATTTGTATGAGATTTTCTAACCTTGTTACTATATTTTTAACGGCCAGTTGCCACTTTGTCTCAGCAGTCAGTGGCCACTGTCTGTCTAATGTTAGACCTGTGTCTTTCTGTCGCCTTGCAGAGATGCTGTCGTTCAAAAACCCAAAGAAGCTGATGCACAGTCTCCAGTAAGCGGGACACAAACTGATGTCTCTGATTGCCAGAAGAAAGACACTCACCCAGCTTCTTCACCCATTTCTCCCCCTCCCCCCATCTCTGTCGTCTCCACTCCCACCATTCCAAAACCAGCCCCCCGCACCATTATGTCTGCTGAGAAGGTGATCACACACACAAACACTCTCTGGGCAGGAAACCATTTCTGTCCAGGTGGATCCATGCAAACACAATAATATGTAAAAGAATCAGCCACTTAGCTAAATGCTGATACTGCAATACGTTGTCTCTAAGTTCAGAGCAAATTTCAGTAACAGTGCTCCAATAGTCATCAGCCAGTATTCATTGTAAATAGTTTGAACGGAGGTCGCTATAAAGGCCAATCAGAAGAGCGGATCAGATGATGCAGTACCGCTGAGGTATGTTAACGGCCAGCAACATATTTTAAGAACCGAGAGATGTTAAGTGGTATTAAATTAGAAGCTGCTGACATGGTAGATATTTTACAAGCACGGACCGGGTAAAGTAACAGTGAACACATCTGTGCCACGTTGGTCTTGATCGCTTCGATAGGCTACATCATTAACCAAGCGTAGGCTGTCATGGTTTAAGTCAGAGATTCCCAAAGTGTGGTGCTGCCTCTAGGGAGTGTGCAACAGGAAAATGTAATGGTGGACAACAGTTATTTTTTGTAGAACTTTTCTTGAAATTAAAACTTGAATTGAAAACTTTCCTTTGTAAATTTAATTAAAAACAAACAAAAATTTAAACATTATTATTAATAGTTAGCTCACAGGTAATTGCTACTCACACACCTCTTTCCCTCTCTCTCCCTCCCCTCCCTCTCTTTCAGGCTGCGATTTGTGAGAAAACCGCGGAGGAATGTTTCATGTTGTTTAAAATAGATAAAATAAATTAAACAAATAAATAATGCTACACAATAAATAGGTGTCAAATACAGTATCAGTCAATACTGCTTCCAGCAGTCGGTGGTCGTGTGTGTGTGCTTTAGCTAAAAGAAATGCCTATATCACAAATACTGTAATACCTGTGAACTGTCCAGACCTCTTAATTCACCCTGAAGAGGTCTACTCACTGTCCCCGGAGTCAAAACTAAATTAAAAAAGAAGCCTTTAGTTTTTATGCAGCACATAACTGGAATAAACTCCCAGAAAACTTGATGTCTGCTCCAACTCTCAATTCTTTTAAATCAAGGCTTTAAATCTTATTTATGTCTTTTTATATTATATCCTAATGCCTAATGTCTTATTTAAAGCACTTTGAATTGCGTTGTTGTTGTTGTTGAAAGGTGCTTTACAAATAAACTTGCATTGCCTTGTAAAAGATGGGCATGTGAGGGGACGTTGTGAAAGAGAATTTCTTTCAAAATCTACGTTATATAACTAAAACATATGGAAAAGTGTATATTAATAAAAAAAAACTGCCCAAGCAATTATAATTCCTAGTTGTTGGTTAAAATCTCTGTGTGTTTGTGTGTGTAAAGGTGAAGACTAAGTTGTACAACCCCCCAGAGCTGCCATTCCTCGGTCACATCAAGATAAGTGTGTCTGCTATCGGAGAGGACGGACTCATTTATGCCAGAACACAGAATGCAGGTTCACATATGAGCACTTATTTTTTTGCAGTACATACTTGATCTTTATTATAGAAATATACATTTTTTTGTATTTGATGTGTGTCTGCTCTAAAATCAGTGTCAGTCAGTTCCCTTTTTTATTATCATGATTGGTGTTTTGGTTTAGAAAGGAAAATGGCAGATGAAACTAGGATCAAAATAAATGTTTGCTGTGTGTCAAGATTATCAGCTGGAGCAACTTAAGAAGAGGATTCAACAGAGCATGAAGACATTGCCCAAACAGAAGCCCTACACCTGGAAGTCAGTCCTCGGCTGTGCAGTTATTGGACCTGACATGTTGTGGTATCGAGGACAGCTGCTTGAGGTGCTGGGAGGACATGTCAAGGTTAGAAAGACACACAAAATCCCTCCTTTGTAATTTTGGAGAGTCACAAGAAAGTTAAAGTAAATTCACCAACAAATAACGCTGCTCTATTAAACTCGTGAATTCACGGTATGCCTACAGGAAAAGCCTATTCTTCCAACACCATTGGTTTCACACCGCCGCAACCTCTGCAACCTATCTCACTTTGCCTCAGTGGTAGCTTCCGCTCTACCCACCCTCAACACATTTTCCTCACTTGAGGTCAATGATGCCACACAATCTCTGTGCTCTACACTAAGCTCGTGCCTGGATAGCCTGTGTCCTCTGTCCACCAAGCCTGCTCGCCCAAACCAGCCCCACCCGTGGCTAACTGATACCATCTGTGGGCTCCGTACTGATCTCAGAGCGGCTGAAAGAAAATGATGAAAAACCCCGCCGACCTTAAGGGCTATCAATTGCTCCTATCCTCCTTCTCAACATGCATCAGTGCTGCCAAAACTGCGTTCTATAATGACAGAATAAGCAGTGCCACTGACTCAAGGAAATTATTTTCCACTTTTAAAGCCTCCTCCACCACCCACAAACTTGTCTGCTGATACCTTTGCTGCCTTCTTCACAGGCAAAGTGGAGGCTATCTAGCCAATTCTTTGAAACACTCAAACTCAACCATTGTAGCAGTCCTACTACATTTTTTCTCCTGCCCTTTCAGGTCAGTGGTTGTTCACTCTCCTCGTTTACTCCTCTCACAGAGAGCGAAGTATCAGAACTCTTGACCCGTAGCCGTCCAACTACATGCCCACTGGACCCGATTCCTACGAATCTCCTCTAAGCCATATCTCCTACTGTGGTCCCGACAATCACTCGTGATAAATACTTCTCTGGCTTCAGGAACCTTCCCGACCACTTTCAAAAGGGCTCAGGTTAACACCCTTGCTCAAAAAGCCCTCACTTGACCCAACTCAAGTTGAGAACTATCGACCAGTGTCTCTTCTACCTTTTTTATCCAAAACTATTGAACGGGCTGTATTCAAACAGGTCTCAGAATTCCTCTCAGGGAATGACCTCCTAGATCCATATCAGTCTGGTTTAAGAGTGCCCACTCTACTGAAACGGCTCTTCTGTCTGTAACAGAAGCCCTAAGGTCAGCTAAAGCTGCAGCCCAATCCTCAGTTCTTATCCTGCTTGACCTATCAGCTGCCTTTGACACAGTCAACCACAGGATCTGCTATCCGCTCTCTCAGCAATGGGCATCTCGAGTAAAGCACTCCTGTGGTTCGAATCCTACCTCTCGGGGTGTTCCTACAATGTTTTGTGGCAAGGACAATTATCCTCCTCCCACTGCCTCTCCACAGGGGTACCCCAAGGCTCAGTGCTTGGGCCCCTTCTCTTCTCAATTTACACCACCTCACTGGGGCCGATCATTCGCTCGCACAGCTTCTCTTACCACTGCTACGCAGACGACACGCAACTCTACCTATCCTTCCCGCCAGGCGATCCCACTGTCTCGGCGCGGATCACGGACTGTCTATCAGACATATCTGCATGGATGAAGGCTTGCCACCTTCAACTAAACCTCTCTAAGACTGAACTCTTGGTCATTCCAGCCAAGCATTCTATCCACCATAACATCAAACTACAAATTGACCGCAACCATCACTCCAACCAAGGTGGTGAGAAACTTGGGTGTCATGATTGATGACCAGCTGTCCTTTTCAGACCATGTTGCTACTGTCTCTCCATCATGCCGCTTTTCTCTATACAACATAAGGAAAATCAGGCCCTACCTCACTCAGTACGCCACCCAGCTTCTGGTACAGGCCATGGTTATCTCTCGCATCGACTATTGCAATGCCCTCCTAGCAGGTCTCCCAGCTTGTGCGGTGAAACCCTTACAAATGGTTCAGAACGCAGCAGCGCGTCTGGTTTTTGATCAGCCCAAAAGGAGTCATGTCACTCCATTACTCAGTGACCTCCACTGGCTCCCCGTGGCCTCCAGAATCAAATTCAAGTCACTAATGCTTGCATACAGAGTGACTACTGGGTCTGCACCCATCTACCTAAACTCCATAATACAAACTTACGTTCCTTCTCGGCCGCTACGCTCCTCCAACGAACGCCGCCTGGCTCTGCCATCCCTTCACACAAAGCAATCCCAGTCCCGGCTATTCTCATCTGTGACACCACGATGGTGGAACGAGCTACCACACGCCATCAGAGCAGGGGCGTCCCTCTCTCCCTAACTTCAAGAAGCTCTTGAAAACTCATCTCTTCCGAGAACACTTCCTCTTATAACACCTCTAACTCCTTACCTCTAACATGCACTTCCTGTGCTCTTCTTCTTCTATCCCCTACAATGATCTTGTATTGATTGCACTTTTTGTTAACTCTTACTTCCTTCCCTAGGTATCGACCCCATTGATGTGATATGTACTGTGAGCTCTTACTAGTATTTATTGCTGCTCTTACTAGTATGCATTGTCAGTTGTAGATCTGTAGTTGATGCTCTGTTGATGCTTGTATGTTGTTCCTCAAATGTAAGTCGCTTTGGATAAAAGCGTCTGCCAAATGAGTAAATGTAAATGTAAGACAAAAATAATAAAACACAGAAGTACACAGACCAGAAATAACACTAAACCTGAACTAAAGCACAGAACTAAGAACTAAGGCTACAAGGAAAAACACAAAACCATAAACCAAAATCAGACCTAAACAGGAAAACAATGGTACCAAACCAAATTCTTAACAACTACATATGAATGAATCAAATTAAACGCTTTCCTTGCTAGTACAGTGATATATCACTAATGTCTTTTTTGGTAATGTTCGTGTGTGTGTTTTGTGTGTTACTAGGTACAATATGTGGATTACGGCTTGGTGGAAAACATCCCAGTGGTCCATGTGTACCCCATGCTATTGTGTGATGATGTTCCTCAGCTGTGTATGCCCTGCCAGCTGCACGGTATCATCCCTGTAAGTGTGTGTGTCAGTATGAGATATATAAAAATCTACTCAAAGGTCCACTTACTAGCATTTGATAGCTGTCTTCTTCAGTGAATGGAGCTGAAGCTCTAAAAATGTATGATATTCTTTAAATATACATCTTAGATAGAAATAGTTATGTATGTTTTATTGCACAATGTATTGTAATTAATTTATATTTTAACCTCTAATTATATTATAATAATAATATAATATTATAATTAAATGATCAAAATCAGTCACTAAAAATGTCTAGTATTATTCCAGACTCTACACTCTGTCATACTTAACTGCCATGGATGTCATAGTTAACCCTTTTCACATGTTTCTCTTCACCTTCTCTCAATTTATTTTTCTGTTTGTCTTTAGGTTGGTGGAAAGTGGCAGCGAGATGCGGTGGCCTTGCTGAGGGAGATGTTGGTGAACCGCTGTGTGGACATGCAAGTCACGGTACACTCCTGAATGAATATACTGTACTAATGTAACTAATGTAAATCTGGGGATGTTGACTATAATCATGTTATCCATGGTCGATGCTACAGTACTGAATAGAAGCTTTAGTACTCTGCTACTCGACTGGTAAAGTTGTTTACCCCTAGTTTGTATTTATGTGTGTGTGTGGTAGGAGCTGCCGACTGACCCGAGGGGCCCCATCACAGTTGACCTCTTCCTGGACGGGCTGAGCCTCAGCAGGATCCTGTGTCACCACGAACATGCCTCCATGGACCGGACTGTCTTAGAACAGAAGGTCTGCGTTGGTTTCGGTTTTCCTATATGAAGCAGTGCTGCATTAATTCACTCAGGAATGTCTGTGTTTCTCTGCAGGGACACTCAGCGATGCCTCCTGCCCTCCGCCTGGATGAGTGGGACCTCGACACTGAGGTATTGCAGTTAGAATGAAGATTGGCCGACTATTACTTATACTTACTTATACTAATACAGGCAATAACAACTTTGAATGTTATGCTCTAGGTCCTTCTGACTTAATGGCCAAACATCACTTTTTGACAAAGATTGCAGTGTTTCCCCTAGGATGGAGTTGTAGCAGCGGAGGTGAAGCAAAATTTTTGTCTGAATATAAAACCCCAACACAACATGTCTCAGCAACATTGCTCTTGTTGTGTCCATGAGTATGCGATACACATTAGAATAGCTAAAAATGTCATTGTTTTCCCAGTTTAATGTGAGCTTTAGATGAATGTTTTGGTGGTGGTTGGGGAAGTGGGGGGGTTTTGGGGTCCTCCCCCAAGAAAACCTTACGTTTTCCAATGAAAAATATGTAATTTCACATCACATTCGGCCATTATTTTCACCATATCTCTGAACAAAGAGTTGGAAAAGCTAGAGCAGATAATAAAGATCAGTCTACTGGGGAGGAACTACAACCTTTAGATTTTGGTAATTTGAGTAATTTGGTTGGTTATGATGCTCTCCACAGTGATTTAACATTGATGGCACAGCATGTTTTGGGTATCACCCCCTGAGCCTTAATGACAGGAAAACCCTGTTAATATGACCTCAGAATCATTATAGGTCTACATTTTACAGCTTTTGACATAATATAAAAAAACATGAGAAACATCCTCCCTTCTGAGGTGCATTTTATTTGCACATTAAAATCAAAAAACAAACGTCTCCTCATAACCTTAAAAGGACTAGTTTGATCCACTAATTAGCTTTACTAAACTCAGGTCCTCTACAGTCACCACCGTACTTTCTTTTCCTAACAACCACATTTTCAGACTCATCTGAAAACGGGAAAATAATTTAATCAGTCTGTACAGGACAGAGCTGTAGGCTACGCCGGTTTACTCTCTGTTTGTACGTGATGTTCTCAACATTGGATAAGTAGGTAGTAAAAATACAGCTACGGTTACTTTCTATTGAGCTAATGGTAAGTTACATAGTAGCCAGAAGACAGCCTACTGTAGAAGCTTTCCTGCTCAGCTGCACAGTCTGAAGGGGAGGGGAGAGGTTAGCTAGCGCAAACAGGCTTCACTTTTCCAGCAGTTGGGGAAACAACAGACACAGTACATTTACTACCAGAATATTTTCCTCTGCTCGCATTCACCGTCACTTTCTGCTTGTATAGAACGATGAGAGGAAGCTAGCCAAGCATTGAGTGTTGCTGTGCTCGCACAGTGTGCAGTTGAAAACATTTGTAAGAGCATAGTTTAATGATCGTGGGAAATTTTAGTAGCGGCGGTCATGATGCAGCAGCGGCACGCCGCTCCTGAATGTATATAGGGGAAACACTGCATTGTTTTGGTTTCCTTTTTTATACAACATCAGACTGGTCGGTAAACGTAAGTCTAAAAGCAGTTTGGCCATTGGTTTTGCTAAAAGGACATTTAAAGAGGTTAAAAATTCAAATGTCAAAAATATTTGGATAACTTTGCTGCAGGTGAAAGTATTTTAAAGTCCCCAGGCTGAAACATTTCAGGTTATGAGTATTGACATACACATAAAACAGGGTGATGAAATGTAAGACTGATGCAGATGCTGTGTCTCCAGGGTCTGAGGGGCCCAGAGGAGCCGATGCTGGGGCCCTATATCTTCCCAAACCTACCACAGGAGGGAGAGCACTTTAAAGTCAGAGTCAAGCACTTGTGGACCCCCAACGAGGTAACTACTAACCACACAGATTACTATTATATCTATTAAAATAATTCTGAGTTTAATAAACAGGGTGCCCGTGGGGTCTTTAAAGTATTAAAGTCTTAAATTTAATATTCTAAAATTAAGGCCTTAAAAGTATTCAATTTTGTTTACAAAGGTCTTAAATTTTTTCTTGTCCTTTCATAGGATTAAATAAATGCCATAAGGTCACAAATAAATATTTGTTGTGTGTGTGACTTTACAATTTACTCTGTTTGGTGTGACTGGACTGGACTGTGGAGTGTTTGTGGTGCACGAGCTCTGGCACAAATCAGTCAGTTGTTAGGAAACAAAACAAAACGTCTCTGACGTGCTACTAACAGCTACAGTTTGCTCGTCACCTCAGAATGGGCAAGTGTCTGAAGTTCAGAAGGCCAGAGATAGGGACAAGTTGGCGGACGAGGCTGAGGGCAGTGGCGCAACAAGCTGATCGTGTGTGAGTCAGTAACACTGGCAAGTGCTAATGAAACAGCGGAACTGGAAGACCCGCTGCAGGTCCTTGGTCAGTGAACATTACAACAGCAACGGGGAGACAGTGCATAAGACGTGGATAGTGTCTGTGTAGGGTAACGGCGTTATAGGGTAACGTTATGTGAATGGAAACATCCAACATGCTAACGCACATCAAACTTACATCACCCAGATGGGCCGATCACCGGGACGAGGAAAAAACAAAATGGAGCCCAACTACTTATCCCCGCTGCTTTCAAGCCAATGCTATCTAATAACGTTACTATATTTCAAGCAGCCTTTACGTGCAAAAACAGAAAAGGATGAATAATCACTGAAGCAATTGGCATTTACATTAGCATATCAGATTACCAGTGTTGGGCAAGCTACTTGGAAAATGTAGTGAGCTAAGCTAGCTACTCTACATTATATGAAGCTTCACTACACAGAAGCAACAACCCAGTGAAATGTAGCAAGCTAAGCTACAGCAACGTGGCAAAAGTAGCTTAGTTAAGCTAAGCTACTTTAAATTTTTTTATATATACACAGTAAAGGCCTAATTTATATTAAACCAACTTCATTCCACAGTAGCAATAGAAGAAAGACTAAAAACCTGCTCCAAACCGTGTGTGTGCATGCGAGAGAGCTAAAACTCTCCTACTTAGTGCCATATCATTGCAGCTAAATGTATTTCCTCATGCAACAAACGGAGAACCATTGTTTGTAAAAAGTTACTTAATTATCACATTATTATCATTAATATTGTTTCTTATTTTAATAATTGTTCCTTTGAAAAATTCTACGGCTTGTCAAAAAGCAAGACATATTTTAATGTAACATAGGCCTACATTGTGTTTTTGTTGTTTTTATTCTTTATAATGTCATTTCATTGTTAATTAATTATATATTTTTATATGTGAATTTGTGCTCTGGCAACATTGCAACCTAGACAACCTAAATATTCATGGCAATAGGCCTGAGAGAGAGAAAGAGAGAGATTATTAAAAAGTACTCAGACATTAAAAAGAAGATCCACATCCACAGTGCTATCTTGTTTTGTAGTTTCTTTTGAGCCTCCTGGGATCATTTTGGACAGTAGAAGGGAGTAAAGAGTGAATTTCACCAAATTTAGTCAAAATCTGATCATGTGAAAACAAACTGCACAGTGCCCTTTCTTTATTCATTACTGTTGATGTTTAACTCTGAACACATCAGAGGTAAGAATCAGTGTTTATCTGCTGTCTGCCCTGCAGCTGTTCCTGTGGCCATTGGAGGTAATAGCTGATGTGAAGGTGGATGGAGAGACCCTGGATGAGGCTCTGACCAGAATCAATGCAAACATCAGCAGTTTGCCACAACTCACCAGCTTCTCTCAGGGTAACATTTCAGTCTTTTCTGGTGTTTCCATTCACAAATGGGGCTTTTGTAACAATGTGTGTGGCAATGCTGGATCTGTGATTGAAACATTGCCTAGTATTAGATAACTTTGTAGATTACAGTCAGTGTCCATTCCAGTGGCCCTGCACCTTTATGTGATGTGCATTAAATTCTCCGTGGTTAATGTAACGTCAGGTCACGGACGTGTGTGTGTGTGTGTGTGTGTGTGTGTGTGTGTGTGCAGCACAAACGATATGTAACCATAAAGAGCATTTCTTCAGTTCTAGTACAGTGGGGGAAATAAGTATTTGACCCCTTGCTGATTTTGCAGGTTTGCCCACTTACAAAGAATGCAACGATCTATAATTTTAATCATATGTACATTCTAACAGTGAAAGACAGAATCCCAAAGAAAATTCCAGAAAATCACATCATATGAATTTATAAAAATTGATAACCATCTGCTGAGGAAAAACAAGTATTTGACCCCCTGTACAAACAGCATGTTAATATTTTGTAGAAAAGCCATTATTGGCCAGCACAGATGTCAAACGGTTTTTATAGTTGGTGACAAGGTTTGTGCACATTTCGGCAGGGATGTTGGCCCACTCCTCCCTGCAGACAGCCTCCAAATCATTCAGGTTCCGAGGTTGTCGCCTGGCAACTCGAATTTTAAGCTCCCGCCAAAGATTTTCAATTGGATTCAGGTCTGGAGACTGGCTAGGCCACTCCAGAACCTTGATGTGCTTCTTCTTCAGCCACTCTTTTGTTGCTTTGGCGGTGTGCTTAGGGTCGTTGTCGTGCTGAAACACCCATCCTCGACCCATCTTCAGCTCTCTCACTGAGGGAAGGAGATGTTGGTCCAGAATTCCACGATACATGGCCCCGTCCATCCTCCCCTCAATACGATGGAGTTGTCCCGTCCCCTTGGCTGAAAAGCACCCCCAAAGCATGATGTTGCCACCACCATGCTTGACGGTGGGGATGGTGTTCTTTGGGTTGTACTCGGTGTTCTTTGCCCTCCAAACACGACGAGTTGCGTTGAGGCCAAAAAGTTCTATTTTGGTCTCATCTGACCACATCACCTTCTTCCAGGCCTCTTCTGAGTCGTCCAGGTGGTGAATGGCGAACTTCATGCGGGCCTGTACATGTTTCTTCTTGAGCAGGGGGACCTTGCGTGCGCTGCAGGATTTCAATCCATGACGGCGTGGTGTGTTACCAACCGTTTCTTTTGTAACTGTGGTCCCAGCTGCCTTCAGTTGATTCATCAGTTCCCCCCTTGTGGTTTTGGGATGATTCCTCACCGTTCGCATGATCAGGGACACCCCACGAGGCGAGATCTTGTGTGGAGGCCCAGACCGAGGGAGGTTGGCGGTGGTGTGGTGCTTCTTCCATTTCCTGATAACTGCACCGACAGTTGATCTTTTCTCTCCAAGTTGCTTTCCGATTCTCTTGTAGCCCATCCCAGCCTTGTGCAGATCAACAATCTTGTCCCTGATGTCCGTAGAAAGCTCTTTGGTCTTGCCCATGGTGCTGATGTTGGATGCTGGTTGTTTGGGTGTTGACAGGTGTCTTTTATACAGGTAACGAGGTGAGGCAGGTGTATTTGATGTAGATAATTGGTTGGGATTGGGGCTGTGTCTTAAAGAAAGACTAACTGGCTTGTAGGAGCCAGAATACTTGCTGTTTGGTAGGGGGTCATATACTTGTTTTTCCTCATCAGATGGTTATCAATTTTTATAAATTCATATGATGTGATTTTCTGGAATTTTCTTTGGGATTCTGTCTTTCACTGTTAGAATGTACATATGATTAAAATTATAGATCGTTGCATTCTTTGTAAGTGGGCAAACCTGCAAAATCAGCAAGGGGTCAAATACTTATTTCCCCCACTGTACATGAGGAGTTTTTTTCTGCGCAGACTCCCTATATTTACATATTAAAATATCTGTTGTGGAAAAAACATCCCCTTTCCTCAGGATTACTCTTCGCAGGTGCATGAATAAATGTCAAACCTGAGCAGCTACTGTGCTGCTGTGTCACACACAGTTCTGTACAAGGTTCAGTAAGTTGGACATTGAGCTGACATTGGACATGTGGTTTCCAGATTATCCATGTCTGGCAGAATACAGTGATGGAAAGTACTACCGGGCCCAGCTTATGAAGTTCAGCAGCGTGGAGCCAGTCATGATCATGGTCAAACACGTCGACTTTGGCTCTGATGACACTCTGCCCACCAGCAAGTATGAAGATTAATCTACACTTACAGCCATGCTAGCTGCTCCATGAGTTTGTACTATGGACTAAGTCATTCTTAGGCTGATGGGAATGTCATTAGTTTTCCGGGGCTTTGGGTCATAAATTAAAATATTTAGATAAATTGAAATTTTGACCTGATTGTGGTAGGGCAGATGGCTAACGGTCTTCGACAGTCTACCATCATAACATCATGATTTAAATGCCCTGTAGACATCGTCCAACCCCTAGGTTGTGGCTCTAGTGGAGTCGGGATCACCAAAGATTCATCCTTTGCAAACTACAAATGTTTGTACAAATTTCTTTGCCAATTCAACAAGCAGATGTAAAAGGGAAAACTTCCTCCATAAATTTACCCCAAGGGGCTTTACAATATGTACAGCATACGACAGCCTCTGGTACAGGGAAGTCTGAGTCTAAAGAGAGGACAAGGAGCAGAAATTGGAGTGAGAGAGGCACACAAACAGAGGGTTAGAGAGATGCAGAGACTTTCAGAAGGTTGACAGTATTCTTATCAGCAGCGCTCGAAATGAATAATATCTATCTATTAATAAAAATAGCACCTACAAAGAGTGAGCAAATGAAGTAATGTGAATTACTGGAACAAAGTTAGCTATTATTATTATGTAGAATAGAAATAGAGAACTTCAGTTTGGAACAAAGGGACAATTAAAAGCAGATTTCAAAACAGTTGCAGGACAAACATGGACTATAAGTACTAGGCTTAAAAGATTATTTGAGACTTAGACCAGTCTGCCTGAAGGTTAACGGTAACAAGTACATGGTAAAAAAAAAAAAAAAGCAGCTAATTAAAGGTTTAGGCGAAAATTGTTTTAAATTTGTATTTAAAGGCCACCATTTAATGTCAACAGAGAGGTTATTCTGGAGGAAGGGGGGCACGATAACAAAAGAAAAGACAAAAGACAGAGCTGAGCAAACAACAGACATTGCCTTCCCTAGGGAAACAACCTAAACCGATTTTTCTTGCCAAAAAAAGAGATAAAACTGCTGATAATAAATAAATAAATAAATAAATAGTTAAAAACTGTGTTGTTGATGCATGCCAATAGTTTAGATTTAACCTGATAAAGGCAATTCATAATACTAAACCCACAGCAGGGCTGAACAATTAATCGAAATCTTCTTGAAATCACATATGTCCTACTGCAATTTTGAAATTGCAGGACTTGCAATATTTGTTTGTTTCATTTTAAATGAAATATTGTTGTGCTTCAGAGATGATTTTTGCAAGGAGCTGTACTAATCAAAGATGATTAAATATGTCTTTCTGAGCATAATTATTTAAAAATGATCATTCTCTCCAATATTGAATATCATCAGTCAAATTAGATAATTATTCAAAATTATTCAGCCCTTATCCGTGGTATGATAGAAGCAAAAAGCGGAAACAAGTTGTGCACACAAGGCTGTCATATCACCTTTTAAATAGATTAGATTAGAACTGTGTTGTCATTACACACAGTAAAAGTACTGAGACAACAAAATGCAGTTTACATGGTGTTGGAGTTGATATGGTGAACAGTTGCTTATTTATTAATTCAATTTCAATTTTGCATCTGTCACTTCCTCTCAGGCTGCGTCATATGCCGGCCGAGCTGCTGCGGTTTCCAGCTCGGGCGCTCAAGGTCAAAGTCGCCGGCTTCAAGGCTCCAAGTGCCAAAAGGAACGAAGACATGCTGCCCTACAGCCCCGGGTGGAGTGTCAAGGCTGCAATGCACATGATTGACCTGTTACACAGCAGCATCACAGCCACTGTTGTGGTAATTCAGAATTCATTCAGTGTTACTCACCAAAAGGCATTATGTGCATCTTTGAGGTCTAACAAACACGATAAAATGATTTCCTTGTAATAAATTAAACATTGGTAAAGCTTTCTTAAGTTTTTGAATTGTTAACATCCCTGTTTACTGGCTTCGCTGGTCCATGGGCGAGTTTCTTGCCGCAATATCGCCACCTGCAGATTACTGCAATAGTACGAAATGATTGGCTGTAATGCGGATAGGTCATAAAGAAACTGTACCATAGTGCTACCAGAGGTCAAGAACTCCACACGATACCTTTCATTAACTGTTGATATTAACATTTTGATAATAGCAATATCAGTACTATTGTTATTAGTATTAGCACTTTTATTATCAGGTGTGTGTATATACACTTTACGCACTGAGCTTGTAGTTCATTTGAAGGATCCACAGCTGTGACCAGTACTGTACTAATTGTTAAACTACACGAGGGGTGATGATTTCTAGTCTTACATATAGTGTGGCTTTTAATTATATTATTTAATGTCGGTGATGTCGGTCTGATTTAAGTGAAGTTTAATAAGACAACATGAAGAAACAACTTCAGTCAAAATTTTAACATTTAAAGAGCTACAGCATATCTCTATTGCAAACACCCAGTTTACATCCAACCTTTGGCCTCACAGACAAGAAGTCACAAGACATATCTTCAAGTATCTTAACTGCCCTCATGCGCCCTTCTTGTCTGTTCAGGCCCGGGAACCGGAGCTCACGGTGCTGCTGTTCAATGAGGATGGAGAGTTGGTCCATCTGCCTCTGGTGAGCAGCGGACTGGCTGAGCTTGAGTGACTCCTCAACCCACAGGGTACAGTTCATTTTTCACCTTTATTTTATATATCAAGGTGCTTTTTGAAATGTGGGTAACTCTGATGTTGTTTTACTGATTTGTTTTATAAAGCTCAGATTTAAACATCACATTATGTCCCCAAATTTATCACTTAGAAACACAATCACTGCTAATTAGGGCTGCAACTAATGATTATCTTCGTAGTCGACTAATCTGTTAATTATTTATTCAATTAGTCGACTAGTCACGATTCATTTGTCAACCCCTAACCATAACCCTAATTAAACCATTTAACTAATTAAATATCTTTCAAGTGAATTACTGGTCTCCAACACACTGCTTAACTAGGTAATGTTACCATTACGAGGTTTACTATTCAGAATGAACAGTAGTATCAACGCCGGGGGAAGACAAGACAGCGTAGGATACTCCTATAATTCACTGATTTACTAATGCACTGAACGTGTTTGCTAACACAACTAAAAGAGAGTTCTCTTAGCAGTACCGGAGGCTGCATTTTCAGGACCACAATCACATTTGTAGGACCCTTGTTTTCTTTGATACTGCTAGCTGGCTGGCTAGTAGACCAGGCGACCAGTTAACCCTACAGCTCCGCCTCACCCCCGACATGCTAGCTGACAGGGTTAACCGCCTTTGTGATGCTGTACATTGCCACCAATCCACTAGATGGCGCTGTCACACAAGAACAATGGTGCTAGACATGCGGTGCTGAAAATATACATACTACTCGCACGAAAGCTTCTTCTTCGTGAGTAGTCTTACAGTCAAGCAGTCATAGCAGACAGTGGAGGCAATACTGGTCTTAGCATTCCATGTAGAGCGTTGCAGTTAGAAATGAACAGGCAGAAATGTTCTTAATAAGAAGATTGCTCTCTCTCCCTTAAACAGCATCTCTGTAACGACACGTCGACAATGAAATTCTATGTCGACAAATTGTTGCAGCCCTACTGATCAGATGTACTGCATGCAAAGTGACCAGATTACATCAAGACAATAGTTGCTAAAAATAATGTTTAGACAGTACTTTTTCTCACTACTTTGACATTTTATACTCAAAATTAGCATAAAATAAGCAAGGATTAATTAAGTTGCGGCCCTAGAGCTAAACCGGGCTAGATACAAAATGTTGCCATTAAACAAGTGTAACCAGCTGTTTGACATTATTTAAGCTGTTGTTAATAAATCCCCCACCTCCTCTTTCCCCAGGTTTCCCCACGGATATCCTGTTGTGTTAACATCTAAATTTTATTCTGTTTGGGCTATTTGACTGCTGTTCTTAGTTTTTACATGTTAAGAAGACATTCTTTATTATTCCCACTAGGGGAAAGTACGTATTTTATTTTTTGCAGAAAATGTGCAGTTGTGTACATTCAAGGTAACCCAAAAGAGAAGTGATTTACTTTAAGTTTGGCTGTTGTGTTTGAGGGAGCTGCATTGATATAGCACTTTATTTTCTAGCCATTCGACTCATGGGAGACAATCTTGTCTGTGTGACAAATTAAAATCTTCCAAAGCTGTCAAACCTTTCTGTGGTGTTTTCTTTGAGTAAATCGTTAAAGCTCTTCTCAACAAGATGCACAGACTTTACACCTCAACAGCAATCATCAGAACAAGAGTCACAATTCTAAAGAAAAAAGATAAAATTTATTTTACAAAAAATACAGTGAGCTAAGAAAATAAATATGTATTTAACATTTTTACAAATTAAAGTAGTTGTAAAAACCTCTCTCACACACACTCTCACACACACGTAGTTCTACTTGAATGTACTAAACAGGCGATGTTTTGTTTCTGTGCAGCATTTCATTATTCCTAGGCTTTTACTGAAAATGTAAACAATATGAATTATTGTTCAAATATTCAGATATAAGGGAATCTGGTAGATCAGTTGCCAGAAATATCCTGACACAAAGAAAAGATTGGTCTAGCCAGACTAAAGGATTAATTTCAGATGCCTGTTTTAGACACAAAACATGTTGCATCACTGAAACACTGAAGCTGCCCTGTGGAGTATTCTTCCAAATAACACAAGTTCCTAGTTAAAAAAAAAAATTGTGTGTATCCAATGACTTGAGGTTTAATATGTTGAATGCATAAATAAATAAAAAATATTTAAAAGGCTTATGACTTCCTCAAGCTCATCTACTGTGGAGTAGCTTTGCCTTGGATGTTTGAAGCACATTAGAGTCAAATGAGTTTCTGCTTTGTCAGAGACTTTTTGCGACTGGTCTATAGGAATCAGTTGTATGAATGTAGACTTGAGACGTTTCTACGCCCTGTTGTCCAGGATGACGTTGCCATCTTTGTCTTTGATCCTGAGCCGTCCATTGGGGTAGCGCGTTTCCTGCCTGCCGTCTGTGTACACCGTCTTCACAGTGCCGTCTGGGTACTCCCTCTTCTTGTAGTCTGCTGCGTGGATCTCCTTCTGGCCTGTGTTGAAGTGGATCTCTTTGGTCCCGTCCCTGAAAGAGGCAGCACGCATTCACACCAAGTTAGTGTTCAATTTAGGTGGAAATGGGTGAGACTCAACTAAAGTGGAAACAAACTCATCAATCAGCCAGAAACTACTACTAGAATGTTAGAAGAAATATTCCTTATAGTCCTTTTATAGAGCTGCAACAATTAGTCAATTGACAGATAAATAATTGGCAATTAATAATTGTTTTAGCCGTTTTTGTTACGCAAAAATACCAAATATTTGGTTTTTGGCTGGTCAGACGAAATATGGCTGTGGGGAATTGTAACAGGTATTTTTCTATTTTCTGACATTTTAGAGAAATTATTAAAAAATAAACAGAATTGACAATGAATAATTGATAGTTGAAGACCTAATACTTAAGGTAGGTTAGGTAAAAATATCAATTACACAAGTAAAATGCTTCATTTAAAATCCAACTCGAGTAAAAGTACTTGTTCTGCAGAACCCTAGCTGACTTGACATCCTCAGATTCTTAATACTTATGTATTATTATGTAATGCAAAGCTTGTTTAAGTAGCGTGAAGTACCTCAAGTGCCAAAACCGGACAACAGTGAGCATTTGTAAAGAGAAACTGATGTACAGTTTTCACCACAGACGTCTGGTTGAATTAGAACACACTGCAGCAGTACAACAAGCCAGAGCTGTGGTCTTACGGGTTGACTTGTATGATGGTCCCATCTGTTAGCACGCTCTCCTCCCTGCCGTTGGGGAACAGGTTCTTGACCGTCTGGTCTGGAAAGGTGATTTCCTTACGTCCATCTGGGAAATGCTTTTCTGGAAATAGAACAATGTACAGTACAGTTTGTCCCCCATTTACCTGTCAAATGGATTCAAATAAAACCACCAAAATAACTACACTGTCAAAATACAGCGGTCGAAAGTAATTAAGTACTTCAGTACAAGTAGTGTTATGTAAGTAAAACTGAATACATGACTTGCACTTGTAACTACACCTCAAAAACTCCCCCAACAGAAATAAAAAATTTTTATAGATGTGAAAATAAGTGATGGGAATCTCAACTAACTGCTCACTATGGAGTCAACTTTGAATATGTGAATATAAGGAGTAGTGAGATTTCAGACACAGATTGACCCCTCACAGCCAAAACCAGCGTCGTACCGCCTGATCTTTTGCGCTCACCAGTCTGGTTATTCGGAAAGTGCAGGACCTCCACGCCATCTGGGTAGGTGATGTGTGTCGTCTGGGCTTCAGCGTAGTAGTAGATCTGAGCACAAGCAGCAGAGCCATGACAAGAGAGAGAACCAGTAAATTAATTCAGATAGGTAACATGGCAAAGGTGCTTCTTATATTTAGTTTGTTCTCTGAGCAAAGACAAATCTATTCTGTTCACATCACTCTTTGATCGTAGGGGATAAAAACATCACTTCTATGATCACATCTATTTTTCCTGCAGTGTTCAAGCTTAAAGTAAGTTGAACTGACAGTCCTGTCCAGTCCGCATTAAAGTCACAGCCAAGAGTTTTTATTTGTGGCTTCAGTGTGCTTGCAACTTTCCTTCCTTAAGCAGAGACAACAAGTTGAAATCTGTGCAGTCCATTTAAGACCATTTACTCTCCTTTCCAAAACTGCTGTCCTTCATAAGTACAACAGTTTATTTCTAACGAGGTGCCATCAATCATTTAACAAAAACAGATTTACCCTCTTTTGGTAAAAAAAACAAAACAACAAAACTCCTACAAACTACTACTTTTAATTAAACTGGTATGAAAAAAGAAAACTGATTTGCTCAATTTAGGTATGTACACAAGAAGCATATTTGTGTTGCAGCTGGTTTGTGTTCAAATCTCAACCAAGAATATCTAATGGGGCAAAGTTAGTCCAACACCCCCTTCCCTCCTCCTACAGTTGCCCTTGAGCAAAGCGCATATGTCCAACAGCTCCCACAGCATGGTTTGTATTCAGCAGATCAGAATGATTCTTTTTACTATAATAAAACATCATTCTTATTCCTATGAAGGTTGAATCAGGTTATCGTAAGTAAAAGCGTCCGCCACATAAATGTTGTGTAACGTAAGATAAAGGTCTCACCACTCTCTGGTCGGCTGTGATCTGTTTGGTGTCTCCGTTGAAAAAGGTGACTTTGACCGTCAGTCCGTCTGCTGAAACCTCCTTCCTGGTCCCGTTGGGGAAGGCAATAAGGCGATCACCACCGGCCAGAACCTTCTCTATCTGGAAAGATCACAACCAGCTCTGAGGATACTTAACATCAGTAACAGCAAACACGCTCACTGCACAACAACGTCTTCAAGTGACATTTTGTCGAAGTCTTTGGCACAACTGTTGTTGTTACCTCTAGCTGTTTAGGTTTATGTTGTGGATAGGAAACTACAAAGTACAAATCATTTTTACATCAGTGTATTATTGAACTTACAAAATTTGGTAAATATCTCTCCCTGGAATCCTAAGCCCTAAGAATCTAGTAAGTTTTTCAGTTATTAGCTGCAGCAGGTAGATACAATTCTGACACGTGAAATCGTCACTTTGACAGTTTTTAGCTTTTTTACTTCATACACGCAACAGTATCTGTCCTGTATGTTGAGTCTTTGCAGTGTGCAACAAAACAATGACTCTTTATTATCATTAAGTACTTTGGTTTTACTTGTTAGTGGTAATTTTCCATCTAGACTTAAGAGTATAAGGGTCACTCAAATTCCATGAAAAGACCAAAACAGACGACTGATTGATCTGATTCAAGAGTTCCTTCATTACACTGTAGTTTATTTTGAATCAGTCCCACATTCAACGTCCGTGTAAATACTTGCACCAAATTCTGAAAAAAGTCCTTAATAAATACACAGTTTATACCTGTTAGAGCAACGCTATACATTTGAGAGCCATATTTAAAGACTTATATCTTCAGTAGGAACACGTGGCCTTTGTGCTAGGAGCAACTGACAGGCTGGGGAAGTCGGCCAATATTGAGAGACGGACAAACACATTGTTGTTTTTGATCTTTTCATGGGATTTATTGACAAAAACTATAAAAATATCGGGAGCCTTATCCTTTTAACATCCAAATTATGGTCAAATGATTAAAGAATTCATTTCCTGCTTTGCAGTTTTCCTTATCAGTCTCAGAATGCTGAAAGCATCTACTGCCTGGTTGCTCCCATCAAGACAAGTTTTCTGGATTTCATATTCTGATGAAACATCTTTCCACTGTCTCACCTTCCCATCAGGGTGTGTGATAACCTGAGCTGATTCTGGCTCTTCTGCCTCACTGCAATCTGGTTCTATGGGCGGAGAATCTCCTTTCTACAATGAGAAGAAGAACAAATTATTAAACATGTGACTGAGCCCTGATGGACAGCAGCATGTTCAGATTGGCCCCGACAGCCCACAACCCTGAACAGGATAAGAAGGTTGAAAAAAAAACAATGGATGAATAGATGAATTTGTGATTAAATGAACTGACCACACTGAACAGTCTCTAAACAGGGTCAGGGGCCGTAAATTTGCTTTAGCTGGATGCCCAATACATTTGTTGTTTACCAGTTACTGTGCTGCAGCATTTTGAAGAACCTGCAGTGTCTGATTTGTTATACCAGACACAAGAGAACTACACTACTGGCGATGCTTACCAGAGAGCAGTTGTGCCAGTGTTCTTGGTTTGGTGGTTTGTCCTGGCTCTTGCTGGAGGGTGCTGACCTCTCCTCTGTCCTCCTGCCAGGCGATGAAGAAGAGGAGGATGTGGACGAGCGTCCCGGCCCGGGTGGCTTCCTCAAGCTGCTCTTTATCCCTGCTGACAAAGAAAATACGAAAACATTGGTTCAGTCGAGGATGGGTTAAATTTACTGGATGGCAGATTACAACCAATTAATTTTGCAGCCTGCAGGGTTCAGGCTGTTTGAGAGTCAGTATATCTGATTAAAAATCCACTCTGCAAAGACAGAAATACAGAAAACCTTTCCACAAACATAAAACCTCTTTCTGACTGGCTCGTCAGATGAATTTAAATTTACTAATGTTTTGTTTTTTTTGGCCACTTGGGGACAGTGGAAACACGCAATGAACATAATA